AGCATTCTGAGCAGAATGATGCTGACAACGTCGCCGGAAACAGAAACGGCAAGACGGGGTTAAAAATTCAAAGGACGCGTAAACTAAATTGGCTTTGATGTGGATTTTGACCTCGGAAGAGCGTGGCTTTGATGTGGATTTTGACCTCGGAAAAGGAAACCTTTCGTTTTCATAACTAATTCTTCCCATTCATCTCCTTCTTGACATCGCCGCTTCCGCAAAGTATTGATTTTGGGGCACTCTCGAAAAAAAAATTAACTTCCCATCGTTTTTTTTGCGAGTTGCTAACCGACGGGTCTGGAGTGACTTGCGACTCGAGATACTGCCAGAAAGATCAATTTAAAGTTACTGTAGAAATTCCACCCGGTTTTTGCCAGTCTCTTTTGCTTTTGCTTTTGCTATTCTTATCTCTTTCTCTTCTCTAAACGTTTTCAAAGACAATTTCCACTTCTTATGGGAGAAAGGGTGTCGAACAATCACTTTTGCGACTCTTGGTTGAGTATTCACAAGCGCCTACTGGGTTAGCTAACCCAGTATTCGCATACTGAGTAGCCGAATATTGCTACGGTAGGGGTAAATAAATATACTTATTAGAAGTGAAATATCTGGAGAAACGACTGCTTGCTTTATCAATTTTTTGCATTTTTTCTGTTGAGTTGTAAACTTGGAGGCAGCATTCGGCCTTGTAGACTCGGACAGCATCCGGCCAAGTCTGAGAGAAACGTAGATAAGACACGATAGCGCCCACCCTAGTAAAGGTCTCTCCCAAGGCACCTGCTTCTGGAGCGAGACAACTGTTTCAGAAGCTCTGCCTCAACACCCTTTTGTAGGCGGTCCTCCATGCCGTCCAACCCAACGACAGCCGCAAGCTCGAGTGTGCATATCGCCAGTCATGACCATAGAGTCCTGCCAAGACTCTGCGGTTTAACCTTGGCGAATTCGACGCCATACTTACAATTCAGAATAATGGGCTCGGCGAGAAGCCCGTCTTCGACAATTTCGCGCTCTCACTGCATTGCCGCAATCAGCAGGAAGGATAAGCTCAGGTAAGCGGAAAATTTTTGATCGAGACTTTGCACGAACGCTGCATACAAGGGGAAGGGTGGGCAAAGGTGAATGCTGATCACAGAAGAAATACGTGATTGAAAGTGATATCGATCTTTTACAAGAAGACAAAAACGCTGCTCGTAAGGAAGCTTGAACATGTCGCGTTTTAGGTGTAGGACACAGTGAGCGGAGCAAATGCTTTTCATTCTTAAAACATTCACGACAATACGACCCACCGGTGGGTTGTACGTGTTCTGCCGTTTCGGACAATAAGACCCACCGGTGGTTCGTAAGATTCCTGAAGCTCTAGCTTTGCCAGTATACAATGGAATTCTACGGGATTCTGGCACATGATTGGGGACACCTTGGCGAAGCTCCAGCCAGAGTGGTCCGGCTTCGGGATACTGTAAAGTAATACTAAGGTAGGTATACCGTAGATAGAGGCAAGACACAGACTTTACCTCAAATTCTTCGCAGAGTGGTGCTGTTTTTGAAAATCAAGTTTGCATGCACGAGGAATACAGGGAGGGCAGAGACTGATGTCAGCCCATCAAAAACTATCGATTTTATTGATTTTTCGTATTGTTCATCCCAGGAATCTCAAACCTTACATATATAGGTTTTTTAGCATGCTGATTACGAAAATGATAGTCTCAAGTTTTAATACCGCATTCTTACATCAGTTTCTTGATTCTTACGGAAATCTACCGTACTGCTACTGTGGTCCCACTGTGGGAAAGTAGTGAACAAAGTGGACACTACAATCGTGATCAGCACGTGAAATAACTCCAAAACACAAAGTTTCATGAAAATCCATGGTGTTGGGTGTACAGAATGACTACCATAACCTTACCGTATACTGCCAAAAACTGAAATAAATCATATTTTGGTAATCAGCGCCTGATAACCCTTGTGGGGAAATTCTCGGAGACACTTTTTGAATTTCTTCCAAAAAGACTACCATTTCGGACAATACGACCCACGGGTGGGTCGAAAATTTGACGAAGCGAAAAAGGCTCTGGTCCGAAACGGCAGTAGTCGAAAAATCGGCTTTGTCGTGAATGTGTTAAGGTGGATACTCATAATAGAATTGAGAACTGTTCGATGTATAGATCCAGTTACTACTTCTACAACTTTGACCACTCTTCATTAAAGGCAGCGTCCAGGCAGATCTGGACCTATGGGGCTTTTACGTGGAAAGTACTTTTGGGGCCCTAACTGAGGCACTGCCCAAGCGGCAGCTCAGGTAGTGCTGTAATGGCTGAGATATTCCCCTCGAAACTGGCCCCCGCGAACGTATTCGCATGGATTCATGGCAGTTTCGCACCAGGATCCACGCTTTGCGCCATGAATCCATGCGAAACACGGTCGCGGGGTCCAGTTTCGAGGAGAATATCTCAGCCATTAGAGCACTACCTGAGCTGCCGCTTGGGCAGTACCTTAGTTAGGGCCCCAAAAGTACTTTCCACGTAAAAGCCCCATGGTCCAGATCTGCCTGGACGCTGCCTTTAAAGTCTCTGTTCAATTTGAACTTCCGCCTTTGCACCGCAACGAGAGCGAGTCTGTTTACTAGGCCGTAGGCTCGTGAACACACAGCTCAGCCAAAATCTATCGTCCCTTCCAAGTTGCTGCTATCCTTGTCTGCGTTTCAGACCTGCCACGTGTGGTTGACATGTCGGCAACGCTGGCAACAACATGTTTGCAATTTATAATCCACAGTTTCATGAGAATAGTGTCGCGGGCATTAACATGCGCAGTTGTTCATTGGAGGTTGACATGTCTAGCTATAAGCAGGGTTGAGCGTGGGGTCAGGCGCGCCCGACCTGGGGGGGTCGTACTGGGGTAAGACAGAGGGGGGGGGGGGTCGTGATTAGGAATCGAATTCGTTTGATTGAGGAGATACTACGATTAAGGTGAAGAAGAAAAGCGCTAGTTTAGTGGATATCGCGACCTCACCAGTACTGAAGGAATGAACGGTCTTAAACAGCATACTGATTAATTTCACAATCGAAGTTTCGGCCAAAACTCAAATCTTCATCTTCTACCTTGACATATTATAAATTCATCAAGGAAGCTTGCTGTGTGAAATGGGTATCATTTCCGAGCACGTCAAATTACCTCTATGAGCCGTACAAACCATTATTTACTGCATTATCTAGTGTTCCTCAACAACTAAAAAGCGTGATTTTCAAACATGATTAACTTGTTTTCAAAAGTGAGAAAAGTCAATTTTTCTGTACTCGTAACAAAGTATTGTTCCCCACTAGTCTAGGCTAAAAATCGCGCTTTGTATCGCTTGCAAATAGTGGAGTAAGAAATAATGCCAAAATTCCGACCGGCGCGTTTTTCGCCATGACTGCTTTAACTCCACGGATTACCACAAGGCCGAAACAAGTCGAATCAAGTCCAAACACTTACTGTGGAATCTTCGAGGGTTGTGCTAGCGATTCACATAAAACTTGAATAAAAAAGCTTCTTCAATGATAAAGTTAATCGGGTCAGGCGCAACCCCACAAAAGGTCAGGCCGCCTGAGCTTTTGAGGGGTTGCGCCTGACCCGATTAACTTGTTTTCAAAATCTAAAAATCGCTCCATTTCTGCTTTGAGTATTGAACTCAAAGCCTCTTCTTGCAATACTGCAAATTTGGAGCCAAGCAATACACTCCTGTGGGAATTATAGCTCTAAAAGTAGGGCTATCCAAAATCCAAAACTTGCCGTCAAGTTGCGTGTGCTGTGCAATAGCAGAAAGTCGACCTACAGACCTCCAAAAAACAAGAACCTCCCAAAAACGGCTGATCTCTTCGAATTATCACAGCCTGAGGTCCTGGAGGTGAAGCAGAGGGGTCGTTTAGGGGCTTTCACTGGGGGGGGGGTCGTTTTGGAAAGACTTGTGCCTGACCTCTTGCTCAACCCTGGCTATAAGCGTGCGGACAAGCGCAAGGGCTTCACAGCGCGGATAGGTAAGCGGATCCACTCCTGCCGAAAGGAAAGCGCGACATTGGCACACACTATATGATGAGAATTATTCTGTAAAGGCCGATTCTTCTGATAACGTGAATAATTTGTTGAACCTTCATGATTAGGCATTGCTTTCCGTACTCTCTTGCTACCAAAAACCGTTACTCTTCGAGCTGACAGAACTTTGCCTTTATATAAATGTGGGAGCCGATGATGTGTCCTCTGCATTTCTGGAAAAGACGAATGGACTCAGAAACTGTGCAGGAAAAAGCTCCTTCTGAATGTAGAAGAGTAGGAAATTGGAAAGACTTTTAGCTTTGTATCCTATCAAGAGAACGTCGAAGGAAAAAGAAAGTTTATCGGTACGGAAACAAGCACTAGCAAAATTTGAAATCAGTAAGTTAAACACTACCCGCAACACATGAGAAATTCAAACTAGTTAATGTAGAGAAAAAATGAAAGTAAAAGCCTCAGAAAGCCAAAGAGTGGAGGATATGATGAATAATTTCAAGCAGCAGCAGCCACGCTCACGCATCACATCCAAAATCCGCGATCCATCACAACCAAAAAAAGCGGTTTCATCTCGCATCTTCATTCAGGAGCAAAACTATTAGTTTCAGTATGAAATGTTAGGCTTGTACAGTTTGTTCCATTAGGATTACAGGGATAGTCGAAGGTAAAGCTGAGTTTTCAACACATATCTAAGATTAAGATCGCACTGTTGTGGGAAGAGACATATGTTTTGTGCTTATATCGCTTTATTTTTGCAGCCGACACCTTAATTCAAGGCAAAAGGGATAGCAAACAAAGCGAAATCACTTGAACACTAAAAATAAAAATTGTAAGAATTTTTGTTTGTCACTTGCATTTAGTTCTTAATATGCTCCAATCGGACAACGTCGCTGCCGCTGGCAAATCTGCACCAGTTTGCACCTTTTGCAGATTTTGTTCTTTGCAGTGGTTCACGTTTGTTGCATGATTCTGCAGTCATATCTTGCGAGAAATCTTACTCTTTCATCGGATATCCGATGAGTAACGTGTGCCCTTTGATAAGCCCTTCCAATACATCCCACGTATCCACTTCATTTGTGCGGCTGTTCGTGATATACCGTGCACGATGTTTTCCAGAATGGTGGAGCTGGCTACGAGCACTCTTTCAAAGTACTTCAGCAAAAGACGCGCATTCTTCGTGACGTTAACCATTTTCACTGTGAGTTTACCGCTTACTTTTTGTTCGTCTATTCATCGATTTCTATATCATATCACTTTTTCTCATCTTCTCGGAAAGAAAATTCAATTTGACATACATATATGTTCAAATGTATATTTTGTGATGGTTACAAATGCTCTCTCTATATTTTCTTCCAAACGTCAGTACCATATCTCAGAATCGGCCTATGAAGCTTGTTGCTGCAAAAAATTGCTTTGACAGCCTTTTAACAAATATGCTTCATGTAGCTTATTAAAGTTACCAAAGCGTGAATCGAGTACGGGTATATATGTCAGTTGTCGCTACGGTAACAAATAGGGAAATACGAACCATCTGCTTGTTTTGCATCAGTCTAACTTATTGTTAGATCTTTAGAAACCAACGAGAGCATATAGGTGAAACTGAAAATGTACATACTAATTGGTGCAGGGCAAGGCGCTCCACCTACTCACTACATCTTTTTGTCTGAACTTCTGCACATTCCTCACGGTACAATATGGTTAAGTAGTGAACTTTTTTTCTGCAGACGATGGGTATATACTCCCTTGCAGTCGGTGTTTGGCTGTATCTGAAACGCACTGACTTCTACGAACTAACACCGACATCTTTCTCAGGTACGCACTTTTGCTTCCTAATTTTGCAAATTTTTTATATTGATGTCTTGAAACAAATCTTGGTGGTTGCGCTCTTTTTCTTTTTTTGCTCAAAGCTGCAAGAAAAACGCTTTTTGCTGTCTCCAGTCCTCATCAGCGCATTATTTTGAGTTGGCTCGGTCAGATCACTGGGGATGGGTCCTCCGTCAGTGTAACCGAATTTACCTTTTCAGCTTTTTCTACGGCTGGTCTGTGCTGTTCCACTGGAGTCGCCGTATGTATCATTTGCACTGTGGGCTGGATCGCAGCTACTGCATACAATCGCCGTCTTTTGCTGACGGTAAGTCTCAGATCTTTCGTCAAAGAATTGTTGTAAGAGTGACTGACAAGGGAGGTCCGATTAGTCGTAGTGGCCTTTCCAAATGAATTTTATGCCACCTTGAAGAGCAGTTTCATTATCTACCGAGAGCCTCTGCATGCTGAGTTATGAATATTTTCTTGGTGCGAAAATGAACGCATAATTTAGGTAAAATCAAATTTTATAGTCTTTTTAGCGCTGAAATAGAGCAGTGTTAAGTATGAGTGTCTTGGACGAAGGTATTGTTCAAATGAAGTGTTCTGATAATCAGCATCGGACCATTTGAACAATTCTGACGATAACGAAGACAAATTTGAAATTAGCTTTCGATGCTCTTGATAGTCGTATCAATATTAATATCATGTGAAAAGGCCACTTCGACCAAACGGACCTCCCTTGTGAGATGAGGTAAGGCTTCGACTGACTGTAATCGTTAGTCGAACTTGTCATTTAACGTGATAATAAATTACACAGCTCCTCTTGCTTAGTTTTTTTTAACTTTCAGTACATCGGGTTTGTTGTTCTTCTGGCTGTTATCCAGAGCATCACAGGTGCTCTTGGTTTGTCTTATAAGGTGGGTGCCTCTTGACCGTAATATCTCTCCCATCAAACATTCGTCGATGAAGGAAGCGGCCCGTGAACACGTTCGCACGGACTTATTCCAAAATATAAATCGTTCTGCTCTGGTGACCAGTCAAGGTGTTTTCGACTTGACCGCTTCATGGGATAAGCTGCAAAAATCGGTTCGTACCTAATCTTCTAAGCCTCTCGACTGTATTTGGAATTTAGCTGAAATGCTGCGGTGTTAACAACTCATCCGATTGGCATTATGCACAACGTTGGCCTTCACAGGAGTTCGTTCCTGATAGCTGTTGCAATCCCAAACACTTCGTGGATGTTACTTCAATGGGAAATTGTGGAAAGATCGCCAACAGCACTATTTTGTATCAACAGGTTTAGTACTCCTTTGAAGGTACAACTTTACCGAAATGTAATAGTTTAGGGATGCTTTGAAGTGTTTGCCGACTGGCTTTATCATCACGTTGCTGTGATGAATTGGATCTCCCTCACTTTACTCATTGTTGAGGTAGTCGCAAATAATCCGTTTTCTTTATGACCAAAGTGATTTTGTCATTTTTAGATATCTTCCTTGATTATAGCGGTTTTCATGGCGAATTCGGAGGCTTTCTTTGAAGGTTCTTCGGGAAAAAGGTGATTTTAGTGACATGCTTGTTTTTTTTTTTCGAAAACGAGTTGCTACATCTTCTGTCGGGCTCGGAGGTAGGTGCGGCATGATAAAATTGAATGTGGTCTATATAAGGAGTAGATTTTCTGCTCAGTGTAGTGTGATGTGCTTAAAAGTGCCGAGAAAATGCGGTTGAACATGTGCGTGAACAAGTATCCACGTCAATGCCGGCGTTTTGCGTGCGCAATGGTCGGCGGCACAGGTGTAAGCATTTAGCGCAAATTTTACGGCATTTTCATCGCAAGCACACTGTAGGGCTGAAAACCTACCCCCTGTAGATCTCCTTTTGTACCTCGCGCTTTGGCAAGAATTAGTCGCATTAAATTCCAACAAGAAATCAATAAGCCTGTTGACTTTTACGCTTCCCTCTCCTCCCTGTGTTCACTTAGAGAACTGAGGAAGAGAAGGGGATGAACAAGTAAGCGCCTGCTTGTCGTTTTTGATATCGATTATCTTACATCTTGAAATAATTTTATAGTCGGGACGAGTACCATCGCTGCTTGGTCGAATTGAATGAAATGGATGCCAGGGACCTTCGCATGCAGCCTAACGATAGAATCGGTGATGCTCGTCAGGATCCGTTGGACAACATTCTTTAATTGTGTGCTCTGTATTTGACCTCCTGGACGCTTGTGCTTCACACAGCGGGTTTCTGCATTTGTCGATTACTTCTACTTATCTGTTTGTATGCTATCTTTGGCTCATAATAATCGAACTACCACTGAATTACTACGTGTGTACCGCTGAACTGTTGTTTTTTTTTTTCTGAGCGGTTTTTTCTACGGTTTTCCTCATAAGGCAGCAATCACATCCGGTTTTAATCATGTAGGGCAGGTATGAAACGCATTACCGGTACGGCTAATCTTTAAGATTATAATATCAAGGAGTGTCACTATACTTATGTACAATACACTCAGGTTTTCACGGTCAATGTTCATCGATCGTTATATATCTAGGTGAAGATGTGCATTCGATTTTGAGGAATGTAGGAATAGTTTGTATCTAGTATTTAATACGTTTCTTTTCTATAGTATTTGTGTTGTTGACCAGATAGATTCCTCTATAAAATGTCTCGATTGCATCGCTGTGTAGTGTCCGTCGGAAAGGTCAGATCTGTGGAAGCTGATCCTGATTCGCTTTATACAAAGATCTCGGATTACCACACTCTATCTGCAAGGCGCAAAATGGGTGCACTGTATTCCAAAAGTGTGAGTCGAATGTCGATATTTGGGGGTAGGTTTACAATTATCTTTTTACGAAAAATTGCCTCTATGATATAATATCCTAGAGAGTTTAGGACATAGTGCTATTTTGTCTTTGTTCAAGATGTAGTAGTGTGAATTATATCACAGGATCTTGTGCGTGACCCTGAGGATAGATTTTGTTGCAGTATTGGAGACGCGAACTTTTTTCGCCATAACCTAGCCGTGAATCTTTGGGGTGAATTAACCTAAAAAACAACAACAAAAGAACTATAGTTTACAGCGATGAGTATACAGTACCCACAATAATAATTCGACAGAAAACGCAGAAACTGACGATCCGCGTTTTTTTTTTGTTTTTTCTCCATAACTTCCTTTAGATTGCATGGAATACGAATCCAAAAAGAGTGTAAATGCTTAACTCGTCAAAACAAACTTCTGATGTACTACACTATCTTGCCATTCAGTTTTAGTCTTCTCGCTTTTTTTATGAGAATGAGTACTCGCTGTGGTTCATCGCAACGCAAAACACACATAGGAGACTCTTGTATGCATGATTTGGTTGACCTGCCCCTGCAGATCACCAAACGTTAGCAGTTAGACGGACATCTCTCCTGTAAAGAGAAAGATAGGGAGGTAAATTCTGAGAAAATCATGCCTCCCATATTTTAGTTACCGTAACCCTACATAGAGCTATAATTTTGAACCGCATGCTTGCTTGAACTCTTTGCCAACTCTCACCTCTGTGGCTCAATTGCAAAAAATCAAGTCGGTAAAATTACTTGATATATCTGAAAACTATTAGGGTGAACGGTAAAAAATGGGACAGCCTGATTTTCACTACATTTTGGAATTTTTTGTTTCGGGCAACAGCAAGTAAGCGGCAACTTAAACGTCGCTTACATGGGCGACCTTCGCTTATTATTCTGACAACGCGTTAACGCTCCTCTTCCACTACCCTACACGTGGCGCCGTGAAGAACTCGAACAGGGTTTTTTGAACAATCCTCAATCTTGCGCTGTTATACCGTAAAGTCGTGAAGCAAGTGACATACCATTCGAAAGAGCTTTTCATGCTCTTTCGAACGGTATGTTAAATGCTGAGATTTCTTTTCAATTTCAGAAAAAAAATCGAAAAAACCTGAAAAGTAGCCATTTTTAGTGCAACAAAAAACCAAAAAATCATGTTTTGCCCTATATTTTCCGAAGATTGATAAAATCTGAGGTATGCTGCATATGTATGGATAGAGCGTAAAAAGCTCTATCAGATGATATCTAGAAATCATGTGTTTACCTGCAAAGAATTGAATAACGCGTATCTTTATTCCCGAAGCTGTTAATGGGCATATCTCCTGACATTAAGAGTTAAAGCCACCAAGCCGTCGTGAGTTTGGTGACTGTCCCACCACCCTCTCCAGCAGTGGTACTTTGGGTGGTCTCACATGTTTCACTGCGCCGATACTGCTCAAACTTCAAAATTTCTCGAAGTAACTAACTTTGCATTTTGGCAATTATAAAAATTATCAATCATATAAATGACCTTATATGGGTGCTATCTGAAAGAGAATAATTTATTCTAATATCCATCAAAATTGGAAAGTTCAGTCACTTTTCTTCCTTGAGAAATCTGCAATTATTCTCAAGGTGTCCCATTTTTTACCGTTCACCCTAATAGTAATGTATTTGTAATCAGCGCCTTCGCTTACCCCCGCTCTACCAGCTCCCAACCTCGTGGCCCAGAGTTCGCGAAAAATCGATAATCGATAAAGACCGATAACGAAAACTAGCCTACGACACCTGCTCCGCCCCGAAGCTGTGTGTAAAATTTAGTCCGGATATTTCAAAGATGCAATTTGCTGTTGGGCGCATACGTACAGACAAACAGACACACTGACATACAGGCATTTACTTTTACAATGGTACAGATAAATACAGGGCATCTCAAAAAAAAATGTGAGCACTGTTTGATCGTAAATAACTCTCTTGTCATGAAGTCCTTCGACAAGCCTGAGGCACCATTCTGTAGAACGAAGTTCAACTTAGACTTACAGTATGGAGCGAATCATCAAGCGCTCTTCAATACCATAGGATTACGGTAGGAACTTTGCGAAGGATTTTTGTAAATTAAAAACGGTATTGTTCAGGAGGAAAACCAAACAAGCCAAAAACTAAGTCAAAGTCGCTGATTCTGAATATGATGTTTGCACTCCATTGCAATGCTTTTTTATAAGTTATTTCAGGTTTAGGGTAAATCTGTTTTTCCAATGTTCATCGGAAATGCGATTACACCATTAAAAAAGCTCGAAAAACTGGTAGAAAGTTGTGTAGTTGAATCTGCACGCCCAAAAACTTCGCTACAAAATTTTAGTTTTTGGAATTTTTTTCACTAAGAGTTTATATCCGCAATGGTATGCTGGAAGTTCACACCGTAATCTTACAGTAATGAAGAGTGATCGATGACTCGCTCCATACTGTAAGTCTGAGTTGAATGCTCTACAGAATGGTGCCTCAAGCTTCTCAAAAGACTTCATGACGGTTATCAGCGAACAAACAACGTTCACATTTTTTCGCGACACCCTGTATATGCAGTAACAGTTGGAAATCTGAAGTCTACCAATTTCATCATAAGGGATTCCCGTGCAACCTTTCATCACTAGTAGGTGGAGATGGAAAGCGTGGTTCTTTCATCACTAGGCTAAGGCTGGTCCTTTTTGCTACTCTATTGCTCCTGAATATTTGCGTGCGCGCTTTTGCTGAGCACTTTTTCACTGTCTGCCGCTCTCCATAACACGATACGATAAAATCGTGATTTCTGCTATAATATACAATATGTTTGGTTGCAGATATTACAAATTTCAAACGTCTCTTGCTAAAGTGTCATATCCCTCCTAGCTCTGAAATGCGGAAAATTACGAGAGTTCGCAATTAGTAATGAAGAAGATACGGTCTTTCCCGATCTATCAGACCAAAACTGGCATGACGAGAATCCATGTCGCGCGGGTTGCGCCACGTTCTACGATAACTTGTCTATTCAATGTCTTCGCTCCGACAGTACGCATACGCAACGCATACCCTAGCGCTGCGAGCGCGCAAATTTACGTCATCGGTTCAAACTGATCCCGATTGGGACAGGCTGTAGTTTAAGAAGACCATGAACTCTTCTTTAACGTTGATGAAAAAAACTCGGTAGACAAGATGAACTGCATTGAAAAAGTAGGTTCCTTCCATCCCTTATCCATAAGGTAAACTCGAAATTGAGATCATCTTCTTCGAATACTTGAATGTCTTTTCAAACTGCGAACACAATGTCGGGCAGACAGTGAAAAGCATTACGATAAAGCGCGCACGCAGCTATTCAAAAGCATTGATAGAGAGCAAGAAGGACCAGCCTTAGGACTGCATCTAGTGACAAGAGCCACGATTTCACCATCATTTAGTGATGAAAGGTTGCAAGAAGACCCCTATGATTTTTTATGAGGTTGAACGACTGTAGAATTCCAACTGTCATTGTAAATATTTGTCACCATCACATGGATATCTGTATGTCAGTGTGTCTGTGTGTCTGTACGTATGCACGAAACAAAAAAGAAATTACATGCTTGAAACAATGCGGACTAGACTTTGCACAAACTTCGGGGCGGAGCGGGCCTCGTAGGCTACTTTTTGTCATCGGTCTACATCATTTATCGGCTTTTCGCAAACTCTGGGCCAGGAGCTGGGAGCTGGTGCAGGGGGGGGGGGTAAGTGAGGGAGCTGATTATCAATAAATTATTAGTTTTCAGAAGTATATGAAAACTCCCCCACAATGGTCGGTCGCCTCATCGTGGCGTGGGGGTGACACTGGGTGTCGAACTGCGATGCACAGCCCAGAGTATACTCTGGTAGGGCCTCCCAAGCTGTGAAGGAGTTCGACGTTTCCGGTTTCGGCCGATGCCTAGCTAAGAGCCGGCCAGGCCATATCCTCGCCGTCTGACTTTCTCTGGTCGCTAGGCGGCCTCCCCGCTCCACATCCGGGTAGCGATCACTCCATGGAAATCAAAAGTTGGCCTAGTAAGTCTGCTCTTGTAGGGGAAACATTTCATTACTCGATCAGCAAAAAGAAGAGAAATAAACCCTGCACATCGGATCCCGCCTACGGCGCCGGGTGGTAGCAAGAACGATGTCAGGTACTCAGGGCGCCTTTTGGATTGGACAAAAACGACACGTCTGCCCAGACGATACGCCATGGAGACTGCCTCATGCTCTGCACCTACAACGCCAGGACAGTCTCCACAAACGCCGATCTCCACGCTCTTCTCGACGCTGCAGAGCACATCAAGTACCACATCATCGCTCTGCAGGAAACGAAGTCCAGGAAGAAGGACGTGCGACAGATGAGTGATGGGACCCTCATCATTCGTGGTGAAAAGGTTCCATCACGAAACGTTGGAGGCGTTGGTTTTGTCGTCCACCCATCCATCGTCCATCTTGTCTATTCGCATGAGATCCTGTCACCTCGACTGGCCATCCTACGACTATGACCTCCACCTCAGAAGACCATCAGCATCATCAACCTGCTACTCACCAACATCAGCAGCTGACGAATCAGAACTAGATGCTTTCTACGAAGACCTGGAGCAGGTCGTCCGCAACGAGAAGTCCTTCTACAAGTTCGTTGTGGGCGACTTCAATGCGAAGATCGGGATGTCACTAGAAGAGGAATACAGGATTGGGAAGTCTGGATATGGGCTTCGAAACGAAAACGGCAACCATCTCGTTGGGCTTCTCTCCGCCGCACGACTTTTCCATAGAAATTCCATCTTCATGAAGAAGGAACATCGCCGGTGGACTTGGGAATCGCCCAACGGAACGACTCACGCGGAGATCGACCACATTCTCACCAACCGAAGGTGGAGCTTGCTCGATGTCCCAGTAGTTCCATCCTTCTGCAGTGCTCCGATCACCGCCTCCTTCGAGCGAAGATACGATTCAGTCGCAGGCTGGAGAAGAAAGTCTGTCGCAGTAACGCAAGAAGGAAGAATGTCGTTTATGACGGTAACAGGCTGGAAGAGCTCATATCAAGTTGTGACTGGCCTATCGAGGAGGACCCAACGTACGACTACGACCGGCTTCTGAAAGGATTGCGAGCTTGCGGAGAGTGTGCCTCAGTGACTTCTGAGAAGAACTTGGAGCGCATTTCGAAGACCACCAAGGAACTGCTCGAAAGAAGAAGATTCCTGAGGCAGGATCCGAATGCAACTCATCTCGAGCGACTGATAGCCAACGCCAGTTGCAGAACAGCCTTGCAGGAGGATCTCAGAAAGTACAGGCAAGCCAAGATACTGGAAGCAGCCGAGGGAAGACGAAGTCTCAAGAAGTGCCGAAGGGACCTTTGTGAATATCACGTACCGCTGGCTGCACTATTAAACGAAGACGGGATTCCGACTTCTTCCCGATACAAGATGGAATCTATCGCGAAAAACTTTTACACCAACCTCTTCCGCTCATCAACACCCGTGCCGATGCCCGTTGTTCCCACTGGAGAAGTGCCACCACGAATTTTACCTGCTGAAGTGCGCACGGCGATTCAGGTCATGAAGACATCCACGGCTCCAGGACCAGACCATCTTTTCGTCGAATTTCTGCGAGCCGGAGGACAACGTCTACACGAGATTCTCGCGTCGCACCTGACATCTTACCTTCAGAAGGAGAGGATTCCCGACCTGTGGAGAACGTCAAGAACCGTCCTTCTCTTCAAGAAGGGTGAACGGGAGGATCTTCGGAACTACCGTCTAATATGCAAGCTGAGTGTGATGTACAAGCTTTTCACGAAGATTATCCTCGCTCGCATATCTAGGACACTGAATGAAGCCCAACTCCAAGAACAAGCTGGATTCCGCAAGGGATTCAGCTGCATGGACCACATCCAGACGGTTTTGAGAGTCATAGAAGTCTGCCGGGAGTACCGACTGCCTCTCGTCCTAACCTTCGTCGACTACGAGAAAGCCTTCGACAGCGTCGAAATCAACGCCATGCTGTCAGCGCTAGTCGACCAAGGAGTGGACGCAGCCTACGTAAGGACACTAACCAACTGCTACAAGGACTGTACAACAACGATGCAGCTGTTCCATCGCCCCCTGACCATTCCAATCGGAAAGGGGGTTCGACAAGGTGATACTATTTCGCCGAAGCTGTTCACCGCGGCCTTGCAGTGGGTGATGAAGTCACTGGACTGGGACGAGAGAGGCATACGAGTTGATGGGAGATTCCTGTCTAACCTTCGTTTTGCGGACGACATCGTTCTCTTTTCGAGCAGTATTACTGAAGCAGAGACGATGCTGAAGGAACTAAACGAAGTAGGGAAGAAGATCGGATTGCGAATAAATCGGAAGAAGACTCAGTTCATGAAGAACGCCCTTTGCGAAGATGCAAAAATGGAATTGGAAGGCTCCACTATCATGGCGACGTCTTCTTACGTGTATCTCGGACGTTCGATGAACATGGAGAACGACTTGAGGGAGGAACTTAACAGGAGAAGAAGAGCATCCTGGACCGCCTTCGGGCCTCTGAAGGAAGCCACCGACCAACTGACGGACCCGGAGCTTCGTGCCCACCTGTTCGACTCAACCGTTCTCCCGGCGTTCTGTTACGCAGCTGTGACTTGGGCCGACACTGTAGCCACATCGAAAGTTTTACGGACCACCCACAGAGCGCTCGAGCGCGCTCTTCTGAAGATGACCCGACGCAAGCAACATCTAGTCGGACTTCGCAGTACGGGTGTGAGAAGCATGTCCCGTCTTCGTGACCGAGCGGAATACGTTGCGAAGGCGAAGCATCGATGGGTCGATCACATCATGAGAAGAACAGACGAAAGATGGACACTAAGAACATCAGAGTGGATTCCTCGCGAAGCACAAACCTCCCCGAGGATGACCACCAACGAGATTGGCAGACGTGTTCGTGGAACGGATGGACCAGCTGAGAAATCAGCTGCATACGATTTTTGCCTTTGGGTCACCTGCACACAGCCACCGACGACCACCAAGAAGATCGTGGATGTCTGAAGCGAGGGACAGGGACAGATGGCAACTTTTGTGCTGGGGCCGGCACGCCACGTGAAGACGGGCCATCTAAGTATCTAAATATGTATATGGAATATTTTTACCGGCTTTATCGATTTTTTTGTTGGTGCAAACTTTGAGCTACAGATGTGAGAGTTGGCACAGGGCTTAGAGGCATCGTCAAATTCTCGACTTCCATGTTTTGTCGCTCTCAGACCTTCTGAAAGTCCTGATTTGGAATATGAAGTCCAACATCTGGAAGCCTCCGACAAACCCTGTTTTGGAGAACCCGCGGCAACAAGCGTAGACGAGGAAAAGCCTGCAAAGTGGATGGGGCGACCAGCGGGGTGGAGCGACCACCCCCAGATTTGCTCCTTCCGGAGCGGATTTCTCGCTCCGGAAGCAATCTTTTGCGGCGCAACTTGGGGGTTTGCAAGTGTGGGGACCCAAACTAGTATGCTATCATAATCTCTTCAACCCTCGTTTTGGGTAGACGGTGCTCTCAAGCAAGCATGCCGTTCCAGTATATATATATATATATATATATATACATATGTATTCACGATAATATTTGCCGACGTATGCAATCTTCAAAACCTTCAACGTTGTAAGGAGGTGAGCTCGTAAGCTCATACTTCGGCGATCAGTGCAGAGAAGGCTACCTGGCTTGAAGTCAGCGTCCGAACAGATTTTCGATCGAAATATTTTTGCCGTGTCCGGGCCCTTTCATGGCGATGATTCCAAATATTGCACAGAGACCGTGAATTTCTTCAAAAATCCTCTTTTTGAGCTATTTTGTGAAGGCCCTGGACGAGTGCCGCTAATGCTATTCCTGTCGAAAGGTGAAGGCTATGTGTTCGGTTGCGTTTGCCATGTGAAAACACGTTAGGGGCTGAATAGATTTCGTATAAGGGGGTTGGCCGTGCGAGGAAAGGCGTGGTCGCCGAGGCTTGGATGTGTGCTGCCTGGACGCTGCCTTTAAGCATGTTCCGGTAGCACTGTCTCTAATGACTTCAGATTAGAAAAGGCAGCAGCTAACTTTTCCAACATGCGCAAAAAGTGCAGGCAAATTCAGGAACTTGCATGATATCGCAGCATTTCTCAGCATAACCCTGCTAAAAGAATATACGGAGCACAAGGAGCACCATTATCGCTCAGCGGGTCTGAAAACCTTTATGGGCGAAGTTTCCGGTCGATCCAAAATCATCGATATTTCAGCCAAAACCGTAGCTTTAGAATCTGAAATCAAAAAAAAATTAAATGGCCCGAATCCGCTAACTTGCGCATAGAGGTTATTTAGCATGCTGATTATGGAGCGCTGCGTACCACTGCGAAAACCCATCCCCACAAAAGATCGAGCAGGCTAGAAACGAATAGCAAGATAGTGTAGCACATCAAAAGATTCTTGACGAGCTGAGCATATTTTATGCAATATGAAGGATGCTATGAGGAAAACCTAAGAAATCGCGGGTCTCGTCAGTTTTTGCGTTCTCTGTCGAACGATTGGCGGGATTTCTGCAGGTACACAGTAGCCAGGCAGTTTTCAGCAGCTTCTGATGGTGTACGTGTTGTAAGCAGTACAATGAGTAACCCTGGCGTGAGCAAAAGTCACATAAGTGTCGAGTTTAACTGCCCAGTGTGCACTCAGGCCTTACCTTCTACTACGTAAAGATGCGCGACTTCGAGATGTATCAAAAGGTGCGTTGGATACAGAAGTCCACCCTGGACCGAGAGTCAATGTAACGAAAACAACTGCGTCCTTTATTCAGAAACTATGAGCGGTATGGTAATATAAGGTTGCATTGGAGTTGAGGTAGTCACACAAATATTGTTATAATTCTAATATTTTGCGGGGATCTAATTGGTTTCGTTCATCTCTTTCTTGTGCGGTGTCAGCTATGAGGGGCCTATCCAGGAACACGAGCTTGCAAATTTTAGAAGTTTTACAAAAAGATTTTCCGAGTTCAAGGCTTATTTGGAAAGATTCTGCTGGCATAACCACTTTAATTTCCGCGGCCGTCAGTGGTGCAAACTTTTCTTTATATTTACAACAAGCCTGTGTGTTATAGGATCCAAAGTAACTTGCCCCTTTCAGATTCTGTGGAATCCGCTCTGAGAAAAGAAATGGATGACCAAAAAATACACTACAAGCCCGAAAGTCTAGATGTTCTCATGCAAGAGACACATTTTTCGAAGTATGAGTTGAAATATCTATATCAGTGCTTCAAACAGGTTCGTAAGCAGCATTGACTTTTTAGAAATTGCCCTCAATTAGTTTTAATCATATTTGAAATCTGGCATAGTATGTCACATACCCCTCTTTGCAGAATTGCCCCAGTGGCTTTGTTTCACGACATCAATTTATCCAGATATTTAGGTCCTTCTTCAGTATACATAGACTTTCCGGTATGGTAGTAATTTTTGTGGATATTCCTCACATTATTCAATCCTTCAGATGCTTCGCAATATGCAGAGCTTGTTTTCAATACCTTCGATGATGACCGCAACAACAGGATCAGCTTCTCGGCAAGTTTATGCAGCTTTTGAAACGGAAAGAGGAAAACCTTTAGGAATTCGTTGTGCAATTGTCGTTATTCTCGAAAGGGTCATTGGTTATGCGTCTGGACTGGTTATTCGACTTATATGATTGCAAGCATAGAGGATATCTTATGGAAGATGACTATCTTGCCGTTTGTAGGTGAGACATCATTACATAGTTTTTGTTCAGAATTTTGATGTTGCAACAAATGATATCTGCGCACTAAGCTGTGGTCGAAATGTTGTAAAAGAAGCATGCATTTTTCAGAAAGTACCTAGTCTTCTTTTCGATAAGTATTCGATCATCCGGCGTTTTTTTTATTCTTGAAGAGAACAGAGCGGCTTGCGGGGGAGGGGGGGGGGGGGGGAAGAAGAATCACAAAGTCAAAAAGGCGTGATCTTGGAGAGACTATGAAGCTTTATCTCTGGGCTAGCGTTTTTCCAACTTATCAGATTTAGGGGAGGGAAAGGGGGGTAGGAGCGTTCTCCGGTTCCGGCGATATCATATTGGCAAAATCAGCTGAAGCCTATCTCAGTCTCAAAATTATAGATACAAGATTTCAAACATGTGATTAGGATACGCCTCGTGCATGTGTGGCTGAATTGACATGTCCTTGAATGTGGATGGACAGCAAAGCGATCCGAATTTCTAATTATGCTTAAAATTATGGAGAATTTCTAATTATGCTCAAAATCATTACCCATACAGATGAAATAAATGTTATGAAACTGTGAAAAGGTAGGAAAGGGCTCTGGTCATTATTTATTGTATGACTCTCCTGTGTTCAAAAATGTATCAGGTTGATTTATACATTCTCTTTGAGAGAATATTCATGATATCTGCTAATTTTTGTTTTCTTGCTGAAGAAATAACTAATTCTTGCACAGACATCTAAATCTTCCCTGCATTGCTGTCATGTGATGACCACGTCTGCTAAACAGCTTTCTTCAACTGTGTAAGGGTTTTTGCATTCCAATATGTTGTCGCCACCGATCTTTGTAACTAGATCTTTGCAAGCTGCAAGGGTTTTGACGTTGGAGTGGACTGCCTTATCGCGCGTAACTCCTAGGTACAATTGTCCTATCAAGGCCGTTGAGCGAGTAAACACATCATGAGCTTCACAAATTCGATATATTCCAGAGCCATGTTTGCTTTGGTTGGTGTGCACTACTTCAAGGATAAGCACATCCCTGTTCCGCTACGACGTCATATTAGACGTCAGTTCTTGGTAATCATTTTTTTTGCTCTCCTTTCTGAGTTTTGTTCTCGACTAGGATAATATAAGCGAACCTGGTATCTTACAGAAACTGGACAATAATCGTGATGGCAAAATAACGCGAGATGAGTTTATCACAGGTTGCCTTTCTGATACCAAAATCATTTCATCAATGGAAGCGTTGAAGACGGTTTGGTAGCGGCAAGTGCAAAATGTTATAAATAAACTTTGTTGAGCTGATCTGTTAGGCACCTTAGCATAGTAAATATTGTGACTTATCAGGAATCAAGGGAAGATTTGTGCCTTCGTCGCCAGTGTGTTTTTTATATACAGTATACTTGGGTAATTCGAAAATTTTTCATCGAATGAATGAATATCGAATAAATTCGAAAGAGAAAAATTTCGAATAAACGAATATCGAATAAATTCGAGGTTCAAAATTTCTCGAATGAATGAATTTCGAATAAATTCGGGAAATCAAAAATGTCGAATGAATGAATATCGAATATATTCGAACATTGGAAGTCGAATATCGAATACATATTCGAATGATTTATCGAATAACTAGAGCAACCATATCTCAAACTTGCCGACATATCTGGCTAAAGCCGATCCATTCATAATCAGCACCCTCGTAACCAGGGTCAAGCTTGTATGCGACTGACGCAACGGGGGGTCGTAAAGAGGGTACCTAAGGTGGGGGGGGGGGGTCGTAAGAGAAGGTATTTAGGCTAAATACGCTAAGCTTAAAAGGGAATCAACAAGCAGATAATTCGATATGTTCTTTACAATAAATTTATAAATAAGTGGAAATCAGAATAAAAAAGATAAGAAAATCTGTAGAAATTTTCAAAAAAAAAACATTTACAAGAGCTCAAAACACTTTTTGAAGGATGTATTATTTGATAAAAATGCAGAATGTACCGATTGCCCTAAAAATCTTGCTTGTGAAGCCCTCCTGAAGTCTCACAACTCGACAAAAGAATATCTTTACCAGCTGTGACCATCATAATTTTCTACATCTTTTTGTAATGTTTTTAACGGGCCCATATGATTTATCTGTACTTTGGAGATGCTTCGCTACATCAGTGCAAAATTTGGTGATATTTTGTCAACTGTGGATTTTCTTATAATTTTATGTATGGTAGCAAAAAATCAGGGAAGGGGGGTCGTATCTGGGTCGCATCTAAATTTCTTCGGAGCTATTGAAGCTTGTTGGCTGCAATTCTGCTGTAATATGAGGCCATCCTCCTACTTTACCTCACAAAAATTGCAGGCTGTTTTGTAACTTCTCTGGTAAGTTACAAAATTTTAAGCTTAAAAATCCCAGTTTTTGCTTTTTAGGATCGCATCTAAATTTGCAAGAGTCGCATCTAAATTTTTTCGAGCTTACTGCTCCTCAAGAGCTGAAACTTTTTCTATGGATAGTATGGGTACTATTATACAGAACCTGTGCTTTGCACCCTCTCAGTCTTTTCCTGGCCTTAGTTACGAATTTTCAAACTACCGTGCTCATGCACGTTTTTGACTTCGTTCTGGAAGGCGCTCAAGCAGTTCTTTTCGCAGGAAAAACTGTGGAAGAGGTATTAAGTAAGCTTCTTAGTCGAAAACATCTCTTGTGGTTCAAGAATGTCATTTTTTTCTCCGTGCAAAAATTTGGGTCGCCTACGGGAATCGAATTTGTTGGTCTGAAGTGTGCCTGAAATTTCAAAAAAAACTTGCAGATTCTCAAACATTATTGAAGGTATGTATTTGTGCTACAGATGCTGGAAGCACTTTTTGGCATAGAAATTCTGCTTCCGAAACCTCACTGAAGTTCTCACGCAGGTGTTTTTTGAGATTGACATTCGTTTATGCCGCGAGAAATGTGGGCAGGTAAGAGGGATAAATGGGGGAGGGTGGGGGGAGGGGGAAGGGGGGGTCGTACGGAATGGAACTTCAAGGGGGGGGGGGTCGTAAATGAGGGTCCCGGATCGCATCAACACGCTTGACCCTGCTCGTAACCCCTTTACCAACTCCTAGCTCAAAATTCTCCAAAAACCGCTGAAATCGATAAAATAGATTTCGGTTTTAATCAGCATCCTTATTCCCCCTCCCACTGTACCAACTTTCAACCTCGTAGCCCAAGATTTTCCAAAAATCGACAAAATCGATAAAGTAAATTTTTATCCATAATCAGCACCCTCACTTGCCCCCTTGTACCAACTCCCAGCCCCGCAGCTCAAACTTCTCCAAAAATTGATAAAGTTGGTCGGTTTGGCAACTAGCCTGTACATCAGCAAAAAGTCATATTTTACCCATTAATGGACGATCTAAAAAGGCAGTCGATATAAATTTTTATGCTGTGCCCAAAAAATTCTTCTTCAGATTCTTTCTTCCGCGAAGCGAGCACGAATGCCCCTATAGCCTCGACCATACTGCAGGCATTTCAGTGGCGACCGGGTTTGGCAATAGTCAAATTGCCCAAAACTTATTTTAAAAGTACAGAATGCAGGGCATTTATCTTTTTAGTAAGTTGTACACGCTAAACATTTGTGGTAAGCTGGCGTTACATTTGAAGACATCTCGTAACTGGTAAATCGCGTACGGCGATCTAAACCGTCTAATCTTGCACTACACCTGCGCTGTCCTTTATTCAAAATGCACCAATTCGCAAGCGAATAGAGGCAGTTGTGCAATATAACTTATGCGAGCAAGAGTGCTCACTAGTGTGGACTTTGCGTACACAAGCATGAGCAATGCAAAGAAAGAAAAACAGGCATTTTAAAACACTTTCATTATATGAACTCGGAACATGACTGAATTTAATAGATTGTTTGCTGATTTGGCGCCAATAGCAGTGTGAACAATCTCACTTATCGAAAAAGCATCAATTAAAATCCATATATGATTTTTTTTACTGTCGCAAGCAGTCGGAAGAATGCGACTCTCCATACAGTTCAAAGGCATAACGATTGCAAAAGATGCATTACCGAGTTTTGCGAAAAAAAGACGCGGACGAAGTGGGCTTGATACTCAGCAGTTGGCTCTGCAACAAAGTCGAATAAGCTGAATACGGAGTTCATTCGAATACGAATTCGAATAAACATTCGAATAAAACATTCGAATAAAATCTATTCGAAACCCCGTTTTTTGATTATTCGAGTTTTCGAATAATATTCGAATCCTCGTTTTTTGATTATTCGAGTTTTCGAATTTTATTCGAAACCCTGTTTTTTGATTATTCGAGTTTCGAATTTTATTCGAAACCCGGTCTACTCAATTATTCGAGTTTCGAATATTATTCGAAAATGGAAGAACTCCGAATATCGAATTTCGAATACGAATATATTCGAATGTTTTATTCGAATGATCGAATTTCTATTCGATTCGGACTCAAGTATAATATACAGGGCAGTTATGGTACGATTCTTGTTTTTTCTTATTCTGGCTAGCAGAAAGTGCTCGCACAGTTGAGATTGCTGATTCATCTTAAGTAAGCTTTCTATCACTGAACAGTATTTTTAATTGAGTTTACACAACGGTAAGAGAGCTATAAAAGAGCTGCAAGTTGACTGCTTTATCGTCAGCAACTCTAATTTCACCATTCCTGGATTAACGTGATTAAAGTTCTACGAAAACCCATACAAATTACCGTGTGGAGAGTTTCCACTCTACGCATTCTCATCATTTGTAATCATTTTGTTACTGCGGATCAGGTGGAAATAATGTCCTATTCATAGGAGGTTTGGTCACTTCGTCACTTTGCTCTACAAAATTGAGAAATGTACTAATCCTACCACAGATTGTAAAACGTGAATTTCAATTTGAAGTGACAAGAAACTGTCCTCAATTTTGATTCTAGCATCTCGAGCAGATCTGATGGAGAAGAAGTGCAAGAGGTTCCATACAAATTTGAGAAGAGCGGTACTGGTGATATACACTCAGAAAATTTCATCAGACTCTGAGTTCTCCTCCACCATTAGCTCTCCTCGTTCAATACCCTATCGTGCAGTAAAGATGATCCTGAGAATTCTAGACCCCTAGCCAAGGCTTTGATAAGTCACGCCGAATGCTGGGAGCAGTGATCCCATCAAGATGTGACAGCTGAAATTTATGCACCGGGTTTTATCATGGCTGGAGCTTTACTCGTTTAAAATACTTTCGGGTCGCTGCTAGATAGCGTGGATACAGACAAATATTTTCAAAGCTGACACTATGTCTGACAATCTCGTGGAGTGGGTGCAAAGTCCAGTGATGTTGTTTTTGAGCAATGATTCAAGGTCAGCTGGCTGATTGCTGACTCTGCGTACCTTGACCTGCGATAAGCGTAGACGAAACTTGATACGTCATTTGCGAACACAAGGACATGTTACTGAAATGTTTATTTTTTCAAGTATAAGCGAAGTTTCTCTTGTTGATTTTTTGAGATTGTTTGTCTACGATCTGTTACCCATAACATGAACACGAAAGCATCAAAATCCACTATCTGATAAGGCAACTATCAATTATTTTCAATTGAGCAACGCTAGATAGCGTCCACAAATAATACAGAAATTCCACTTTTACATGAGCGGATCATAGACCGTAGTCGCTGATAACAAATAACAAACCAGCACAAAAATACACCTCAAAAATGCTCTAACTGTCTACTGATACCAGTAATTATTACAGCAACACTATCGTCTACCCTTAGCTTGCACATCACAGCGCTAGGTTTTACGTCGCCGTTTCTCGGTTCCGTGAAATTGCTGCAGATAACGAACACCGAGTGAGCTCGCATCGGACCATTGTTTGAAGGAGTTCACATGTCGGAATAGACGTTGCTTTGATCGGCACCAGCTTTCGCCGAGTACAACCTGCAATGCAAAACAAATCATATGAAATTCTCGTTCTATTGAAGACCGAATTGCTTGACTGGTGCCCTTACAGTAGTTTTTGTGATACCTTACACATTTATTTGCATTATGCACATTGCCTATCTCCTATATGTACTAATTGTTTCAAAAGTCCCACAGATCTGAGAACAGCATGCGCGCATGTTGTGCGTCAGAGGACCTTCACATCCCGGTTCACCATTTGTTCAGATTGAACCTAGTGAAGAATTACATTGCTGTGCAGCTGCACTCTTGTGCACTTTAGGGGACATCTGGAGCAGCGCACGTGGATTACAACAGTGTTTTCTGAACTTTGTTCATTGTGAGCTACATTATTCACTACTGACTATTTCGTGCTGCTGGCAATGCTCAACTATGTAGTGTAGAATTCGACTAATGGAATTTTCAAACGTGTTATTGGTGAGACAACTTCTAAGTCAGAACGCATTCCCTTAAAACCACGAATGGTACGACTTAAAGTTTGCGAGGCCAGTTCTAGAGCTAAGGGAGAGGCCCCCAAAGGCCTCCATTCTACTTATTTTTTGAGTACTTCCCAGGACAAGAGTTATACAAGTTACGCTATACAAGTTACCTCAAAAGCGATATGAGTTTTGGGGGCTTTCTTGCCCACGTTCCACTAATCATTATTATGATACGACTGATGTTTTCTCTGAGATTTAGGTTCCACCTTAAAAACAGACCTGCAGGCAGACGAGATCAATTTCCTTCTTCTGGTAAATCATATCCACGGCAACAGCATAGTGTATGAGACGTGAAAGATGACTGAGTTGTTGGGGCTGAAAAAAGGTTATGTCTGAGAGCATAATGATAAACTGGAAGTGGACTGGAGGAAAAAAATTGTCTATGGTTTGAGAGATTTGAATTGATCTGAGATGTTGTATGCCGTTTTGATGCGTTGGCTAAGTTTCTATGACATAATTCTCGCGAGCAAAGTTATAGAGCTTGGGATGATGTACGAGAGAAATGATGGATTATGTCAGTATACAACTCACATTGCTGATAACGGTGAATTTCTTCAGCGCAGGGAATAATGGGCCAATCGGAAGTTGGCTTTTCATCATAGGCGTAATGGTAGTTTCTTCGCATGTGAAGTCTTTGTCACATTTACGATTTTGATTGAAGAACACCAGTAATGCGTTGATCTTCTTAGTGTTCACCTTGAAAAGCTGATAGTTAGTGACTTAGTAACGACAGATTTCAGCGATGCTTCTGTTAGTCAAAACTGACCTCCTTCACAAGAAGTTCCACTATTGGACTGTCCATTTGTATTTGTGTAGCGTTCTCCCGGAACACATTCAACAATGCCACCAATATCTTCACATCTTTCCATTTTGGTCGCGAATCGAGTGCGATGCCAAGCTCGTGCGTTCCCATTTCGCTCAGCAGGAGGCAGCCGGCTGGGTGCCAACTCAAATCATCTACAACGAAGATTTTGTCTCAGAGACTCGTCGTTCCACAATCATCATCATCTCTGTACTTACCAACATGTGCGATAGAAGATGCCTTTTCATAGAGAGTGGATAGACCATCGTAGACGCGAACATGAATCGTCGTGTATCGCGCAAGGCGACGCAGTGCTGCTGCGCGGAATCGCCGCGATACAGCGCGCCATCGCAGCACGTCGGCCAGTGATGCGTTAGCGATGATTCGCTCAGCGATTTCTAGAGTAAAGTTTTCGTGCAGAATAATAGGAAAGCAATAAAGGTGGCATACCGGAATGATCTGTTTGAGAGCTGCTTGCGAACATTGAGCAACATACCCGGCGTAGGTTGTCATACACAGTTAGAGGTATGAGTGACATGCTCTGAGAAAAATAATCTCTACGTTGGCATTTCCAAACGATATTTGAGGATTATCAAATTACGCGATTAAACTTCAGAAAGCTATTTCATGGTTAGCTGTAATCGGAGAAGTAATAATGAAAGAAATTGATAAAAGATTGAAAAGAGATTGAAAGAGACAGCTTACAAGAATTCGATGAAATGCAAGGTAGAACAACCATTGTCAAACTAAACCTGAATACCCCCTTCACTTGGCCAGTAGCGGAACAGCGTGTTCAAATTCATTCATTTCATAACAAAATCGTATTCACAGCTGTTGTTTCTGGTGATCAATCAAAAAAGAAGGACAAAAGATGGAAAAAAAGCACATTCCACTGATACAATCTGTGCTATCCGGTGTTCAAGTGTTCCACTAATGACATGATGCGACAAAAAGTTCCTTTAGGAAATAAGTGGACACATCAGTAAGGAGGTCTTATATATTGTATTAAAGAAAGCAGTAGAGAATCAAACTTGTTCTATGCAGTTTTGAACTACATCTCAAAATGACATAGCGACCTTCATACATATTATAAGTTCAGAAAGAGCGATTTCATGCAGGACAATAGAGGGGAAGCATGACAATCTTAATGACTCTTACTAGAGCGTGTAATTTTCATAAAAACAATGATGTCAGCTATCAACATAAGAAAAAGGTCAAGGCGAACAAAGATAATAGAATAATCAATTAATGGAAAACAGAAACCATCACCATGAAATTTGCACGCTGAAAAAACTGCAGGAAAATGCCACGTGAAACTTTCCATTAGTTCGAAGCTATTCGGAACCAGATACGAAGCAAGAGCGATGAAACGTGCGTTTAATTATACCGAACACGACAGGAGCCAAAAATCATGGCCGTAGCAAAGCGGCATGATTGATGAGATTTACAATTGCGATTTGATTTGCACTTTGAAAAATATCATAGCGAAGAACAGAGGAGAGGACGGATGGGAGGAAAAGCTGGTTGTTTTACGCAGTCAACGTACAGTGTGCTTTTATCAGTGAAAATGAATGACGACAAGTTCTGTTAGGAGCTAATTGGCTTCAAAAAATGTAATACGTACGGGATGTTCTATCTGTGACTTATATTTTATGCAAACAGAGAAAAAAACTTGAATAAATTATGCGTTTCACGTACTATAACGGATGAGGATAGTGATAATTGACATTGGATCGGACATATGCGACAGCTTCCAACTGCTGAGTAAACATCTTTTTCGTATACTTATACGTAAACTCAGTTTGAACAACGGAACCTTCAACAGAGTGCTTGATCCTCAATTGAGTAAGAAGGCTCGCTTTTCCTAAAGAAAATCTAATCAAGTGTTTGAAGCAGAAGGACTCCTCAAAAAGAACTTCATCCCAGTCATACTCGACTCGCAAGCATCAAAACAGGTAAAAATGAAGAGAAAAACGATGCCACGACAATCCTGCAGGGATGAATATATGTAACACTAGCGACATCTGACGAGATCGGAGCGAAGGCGAGCGGAGAAATAACAGCTGACTAAGCACATAGCTGACTTCATGAGAAAACAGCTGGTAGAAAAGCTGAGAATCACTCGATCAATATGAATGAGATACTACTAATTGTGCGGCGATAGCGGTTCGAATCTTCTTGAGCACTGAAGGTGGTGCGCGCATTTGGTGATCGAATGCAAATCGAGGTCGATCTCAATGAGTTCGGACTTGGAGGTTCAAATGCGACGAACGCACATTCGCAGAGATGCATCGTCTTGGTCTAGTGGCCGTGATTTAGACAAAGAAAAGAGCGATGGCAGGAGTCAAACAGCGAGTAGAAGAACTAGTACGAGTACGAGTCGATGCGCTGTATGGAAAACAGACTGTTGCGTGCAAGGCAAGGCTATGAAAGTGAAATCTCTGATTTTATCATGGAAACCAGCCGTGCGGGGTGCTCTCCAGTCGAGCTCGCGCACTAAACCTGCGAATAATAAGGAGGGGAGTGTCACAGTGTCTTAGTCACATAGCAGTGTTGAATCTTTCTTTGCCAACCTAGCACATTATGACTCATTTTCTTACTTACAATTAGTCAGTTCAAACGGTCGTATTCTGATCTTGCAGATGACATAGCATTTACCTAACGTTCCAAGAATTTCTTCACCCATTGACAACGATGAGTTTTTCACAATTAGCATGTTTCTGATGACTTGCTTTATCAAAGCGCAGTCTTTTTTCTACTGATACTGAGTTGTAAAAAGACGACAGAGCTTTTGGAGCTGTTTATTGGAAACAGCTGATCTGTAAGGATCTGGAGATATTTATATTAACGCTTGTGGTCAATTATACGTCAACAACAGGGATAATCCATTGCTTGTAGCTGTCATATACGATATTATGAGATTTATTGTCGATTGCTACAACCAAATGAATCACTTGTTTCCACAAAGAATCTTTCCATAGACATAGGTCTGCAAATCATGGAAAAGTTATGAGAGGTGAAAAAGGTGGGATGCAATAGAAAATGACATGTGAAGTTTTTTTTCAATAATTTGTGTTTCTTTCGCGCAAAATGTTTGAGAGGTATTCATCTGACATCTCGAAAGTATTAATTTCATAGTTACATTTCTGGCATAAACATTTTACAATTCAAATTGTACATCATGACTCAGTGACATAAGAGGTTAGCCTGGCCGTCCATTCGATGAAGAATTCGGTACAGAATTTGCCTTCAAAAAATCAATTAACGACACTTAATTCACTCAAACAATCCGAGAGAAGTTCCTATGATCAGTAAGGTGCGGCCGTGTTTATCGTTACAATCACTAACATGTTTACAGTGTGAAAGCGTTTTTGTCTCGTTGGCACAGTTCAGCGTTCCACATCTATAATGGAATGTTTACCAACATCAGACAAATTACAGAAAACCAGTCCAGTGGGAAGTTTTCTCGAAAACTCACACCCATTTGCGCGCTCACCTTGAATTTGATGGACAAAGACGGGTGCTTTCTTCAAAGCTAATATGACACGTCTCGATACTGACAATAATAACTCTGGCTTACTGGTTGCAATTTGAGGCTACATGGCTGCAAATGCACTGTCCATCCCCTTGCCGTTTGCGTCGACAATGTTGAAAATTTACCAAAAATGTTGTCCTCTCAAAGTCAACCATGTGATGTTGACAAAGCCTAAGCGTAGAACATCGAGGCGCATGCATTTGCCCATCTTTGCTAATTTCAAAATTGATGAGAGAAAACCCAAAGCAGTTATTATTACAGCAAAGCTGGGAAGGAGGAGAAAATCTAGTGGCTAAATGAATTTGAATGAAACATGCAACTCACTTATTCACATTTCTTAAATTTTTGTGACTAGTTGGATTATTTCTACAACGAAGCTGAATCACTCGAGCAATTTGACGAAAGAGTGGAAGTGGAAGAATGGAAGAAAAGCGCATTACAATTGACGTCACTGCCAGATAACGGAATGCAAGCGATTTTACGCAGAAATAAGAATTGTTCTGACGTCGACAGGCACCTGTTGTTGTGTGTTTTCGGAAGCTTATTTTTATACACGTTTTGAAACAGTTCAAAATTAATTGTGTTTTCAACTCTCAAGCGTCAACACGTTATGCTAACAGTTGTTCTGGACCGGTTTTTTGCTGGTAGTTCCTCGTTAACAGCGGGCAAACAGTAAATATATTTGTTGGCAAAGAAAGAAGATGAGGGAAGCTTTCCAGCATTTTACAAATGCAAGACTACGAAAACGACTATCGATAGCCGTGGACGAAGGGCAACCAGGTGGAGTAGCAGTTCTGATGCGATAACATCGACACACACAGTGAACGTTCGTACCAGCTATGAGTGATGTTTAGTACAAGACCTTTAACATCTATTGTGAGAGCTGGCTGTTTACAGTGTTTGAACATCTGCTACCCCGTAGAGTTTACAACAATGAATATTCAGTGGCTTTCTTTGTCACGCAAGTTGTGAACGTCTGAGCTAGTTTACACTCTTTCAAATAGTGTTTCGCTAAGACTATGAAAGGAGACATTTTAATGTCTCCTTTCATAATAAAATAAAATCTATTAGGATACTGCATTTCAACGGAGTCAGCGCCTATACTGTCATAGTGCAAAGAAAAAAGTGGCGGACCGCAAAATGTTTAGTGAGTTTCATTTCAACTGGTCGTATGAAAGAGCGCAATCAAAAATCCTCATTTCGCCCTATACACACAATGCTCGCTCACGAAAAATTTCATTGTGCCGCGCATATCGTGGCGCTAGTCATTTACAGCATGACCATGAAAACTACTTCCGTTCATCAGTAGAACCAAAAACTACCAAGATCCTCTTGGTTCTATATAAAATTTCGAGAAACTTTTTTTTTTGTTTTTTTTTGTTAAGGGAATGCGACTTCAACTATGCGAAAAACGCGGTGAATTGAAGGCCACTCAAATGATTTTTCGTTTCTGGAATACATAAAAGCTGCTCTTCATTGTAATATCCACTATAATTATTGCTAATATGCAGGCTAAGATGAGTTGTTACAAAAATTATCCATGACTCAACTTATTGGTTTGTAGCAGGAAGCTCAGTGATGTCTGTTTAAGATAAGCAGACATGAACTGAGAAATTTGCTGGGCACAGCATAGTGTCGACTTGCTTTTTGGTACCAAATGCATTACTTTGAAAGTCATACCCTAAAATGTGATTTCACATTCAAATTTCTGGATGATAAAATTGCGAACACCAACCAAAGATGGCAACAGTGCACGTTTATGCTCGAAAAGTGTAGTGAATTCAAAATGTTTCAACCCCATTCAAACTGCCAAAGTACAGCTATAAAAAGTGGAGAGAAGAAGAGCTGTTCAAAGTGAAAAGTATGACTCCTGATGATTGCAATAGTCTCTGATAAATTACTTCATGAAGAAGTGAACAAATAAATTAGACTTCAAACACAGGTGCAATTATCGTGTAGGCGAACATTGCCAAGTCGCATCACATATAATCTGTCCCAAAGGGCAACATACATTATTGCATCAAAATCTTTCACAATATAAACGTGTATTTGTCGGATTGTTGTTGAAGCAAAAGAACTATGATATGTTTTAGATGAGGGCACGTATCATAGGATAGTGCAGGCGATGACGAGGGTCAAGTCAAATTTGAAGGGAATAACAAACGCTAATATTACAAAGGTATTCAGGCGTAAGAAAAGAACGCTCAAAACAAATGATCAGAAGAAATGAGAAAACGAAAACCAGCAATTACGTATTTGAGTTATAACTGGTAAAATCAAATTACAAGACGCGAATCAAATTTGGTATGAGTATCTCCAATGAAATGCCATACTTTTCAGAAGTGGAGAAAATCAGCCTTAGAACCGGCTAACATTCATTACAAACCAATATATTCTCGGATAGATGACACATGACAAGGTGTAATATCTACTGCGTGACGAAGGCGGTTGCCCAAATAGGTTGAAGCCTGTCGCGCACGCGGCGCGCGGGTAAGTGTCAGCCATGGAGCGCGCGCACGCTCGGTCAGCGGCTGGCTGCCGTGCCGCCGCGCTCCGTGGATGACCGCTGACCGAGCGTGCGCACGCTCCACGGCTGACAATTGCCCGCGCGCCGCGTGCGCAACAACCTTCAACCTATTTGGGCAACCGCCTTCGTCATGCAGTAGATATTAGAGCTAGCATTATTTGTCAGATATTGTAGAAAGCGCCGAAGTGAAAAGGCTTGGCCTTCATAATTGAATAAATTATGTGCGCGTAACCTGGTTTTACTCACAAACTGTTAACCTAAACGTTATCATTGCTGATTTTTGAAAATACGGAAGCAAAATGATTTTTAGTTTTTTGCATCTGTATCATGTTTTGCAGCCGGAAGGCAGAATGAGAGTCGCGATAAAGAGTTGTTTGATTGATAAAGTGTTCTATTAGCTACATTATAGTGATAAATGACCCAATCGCGCGAAGCCAAACACACTGTAGGCATTAGTGCGCCTATAATTCATACTAACGATTATTAAATTCAAATGTGTCTGGACGACAATGAGCTAGCAAATTGGCAGAGCAAATCTGCGTTTATAGCAGAGAAGTCGTTAAGCAACATCGGAATGCCGTAATGTACACATGAACGGAGTGAGCCGGTAGCAGAGAGCGGCAACCGGGGCCGCTCTTCGGGACGATCAAACAAGAATGATAAGCACACTCTCTCACACTAGAACAAACAGTAAAGGATAAGGTGCGCTCTGTGCTGTGGAACTGTGTTGTACAGGGATCGAGTGGATGTTCGCCGAGTGACATCATCGACAAGGCGATCACGTCCAGTGCGTCACGAACTGGTGTTGAAGTTATGAGCTGGCGAAGCTGGCTGATCATATCGGAGAAAAAGCGATTTGGTAGGAACTGAGTTGCGCGGACAGTTCAAGTGCTGGAACAGCCCTCAGACGAACTCTGACCGATCAAAGCAACAAAAATGAGAGAACACGATGACGTGCTGTACGAGCGTCGTGCACGTGTACAAGTGTGGAGAGAGCGATACGGCTGCAGTTGGCGCCGTTGTTGTCGCAGTAGTGTGTAGCGCTAGCCGTACGCGCATATTGATAGTTTTGTAAAGTTATGTGTGATGTTTACCACTCCTTACAACAACGAAAATGACGTCGTGATAGACGCGCCTATTCAGGTCAACCTTCGATGACCTGTGTCTGATCGGCGTTATTCGATAAGTAAACATTAATAGCTAGCAAAAACTTCAAAACAAGGTGCGGCTAAGAGTCACCGGCGACGTCTGCAAGGCGACGGAAGGGCGTCGCAATGCTGTCGCGACAAATGCAGACCAGATGATAAATGCATAGAAGTAACTCGTTTTTGCTCACAGCCCTAATATTTTACCTGATGTCTTCATAAGACAACTATTATACTTCATAAAAGGAGAAAACTTTTTTTGGCAGCCTGCCTATGCTTCAAGGGATTTTTCTTGAACCTTCTATATAAGTTTGAAATTCAGAAGATGCTAGTAGGACTGCAGGAACTAGATGTTCTTTTTCAAACAGTCCAGAAATTTTCGAACATACAATGACCCGAATTTAGGTATCTTTTCAGCAAATAGTCATGGTACACGTCAGCGTAAATCAGTACACAAGTCCTCCTCTCCTTGAGTTGTAGAGGATAGCACGGTTCCAACTGAGAACTTCGGGACCGCTACCAATTGAGGATCATAATATTTTGGCTCTATGGAAAAGCACTTTGACTTTGAATTGTGTCTACATACTTTGAGTACATAGATCATGCATGATGAGACAAAATCGAATTCTATAATACCTAAAGGCTTCAGTTCTTCTATGGTTCAGATGCAGAGAATACCTCCTTGACAATTTATTAACAACGAAGTAATTTCATTAGTAGGCCTCAAATATTACTCGTATCCTCGAAATCCTCTGCTATTGACAAATTCCCTCAACGCAGAATAAACACGCAATCCTCTAGAAACACAACAAGTACCAAAAGGAAGTACTTTTGGCCACAGTGGCCGTTTGGGACGAGATAGCGTTTTTGACGCTGATCTGAAATCTGCTCTTCGTATCTGCGAAGTGCTTTTCTGAAAGAAGTATTGGTGCGTAGTGTTTGAGTTCGCTAGCACTGTAAGCGTAATGTTAAAAGCTGGTATATTACCGCATGAGAACATTTTTGATTGCCAGCTGGTATATTACCGCATGATGACATTTTTGATTGGCAGTCGTATGTTTACTACCAGCAAAATCTTGGAACAGGTTTGCCACTTTAGAGCTAAAATTAGCTTTCAGGATGTTTCAAAGCAAACACTAGCATAGGGGCGTTTGAAGGTAACTTGACACAAAAATAGAAAGTTGCTATGAATCATCAAGATCTATTTTATTGTTCATTCTCGTACTTCGTTTTGGATCTCTCTCGCACATTGCAGTATGTGAATATCCCATCAATACGCTGTTAGCAGTCTGAACGTTTGAGCTGTTTAGAGGTAGCTTTCAGTTGTTGTTCAGGCTGCAAACTGATCTATGTGTTTGACTTCAGCCTTCTTTTTTTATGCTTGATATGTTTTAGTTTTTATAATTACCGCGGCAGAAATTATGTTAGTAAATCTTGGAGAAGTTATGCGCCAAACTTGCGCTTGGAAGCTTCTGAGTTGGAATGGTTTGCTGAAAGTAAGGACATTTTTGATTGTCAGAATCCGACGTATAATATTACAGAGTTCGGCTCATAGTTTTCCCGTGGATTCAGTGATTCCTAAAACTCTTGTAAAGGCTACTGCATGACGAAGGCGCAGAAGCGGTATAAGTTGAGCGGGCGCGAACTCGGCGCTCGCGTATTTTCACCCTGTAAATCCTGCACCTTGTGCACTCTGCGGCTAAAAAAGCCGCAATCGCACCCAAAGGTATTGCGCCTTCGCCATGCAGCAGCCTCTATTTCCACCATTCCCATCATCCGTGGAGCGCGAATGCTACTCTTACAGTGGAAATCTACGATAATGTGTATGTGCAGTCTCCTCAATTTGCTCTGCTCTTGGCGTCAGTGCCTTGTCGGCTGGGAAAGAGGATGCTCAAATTGCGATTCCGATGCATCAACAAATCTTTGATTAGCCTTCAGACATGGCTTCATTGAAAACCATTTCCAAAATCAGAAAATTGCCTATATGCCATTGTCGTTGCAGCATTTCTGCACATCTTTGAGATGTTCGAGATTTTTTTCGTAGCACGGACAGAGTTTCGATGAGAACGAGGAATTGAAAACTGAACCGTTTTGAACCCGACCTTCCAAATTGATTGTGGAATGACAGAATACTACAGAACGCATACGCAGATCTTAGGTCATTTGGAGCAAGGAACTGTGCTTTACAACCCAGCTTCATTTCCGTTAGATCATATCCCCCACTAGTTGCAAATTACGCATTTTCATATCACTCTTGATGCGTCTCTCACTCAATGATGCTAAAACTTTGTCTGCAGAACATCTTTTCCATTTTTTTGGAGCTCATAACCTAAACTTTTCAATAACCTCATCCATTTCAAATTTTCTCCAGAGCTTATTTGGTTGGAATGTTTATAAGCAATATCATTTGTCTACGTAAAGAATCTTGGGTGCCCGATTTGTGAAAAAAATTTGGTTCATACCCCTTCCGCCCCTGCGTCTGTCACAGATACAATAGGTTGTCCCATACTAGTTCTTATTCAACTCAACGAATCTTACTGTTTTGCTTTCTGTAAACTAAATTCCAGATCCCCATTTGCTAGCAAGCTACAACTTGGTCACTAATTATCCAAATATTAGGTCATTTCGAAAGTAATTCGCTTTTTTTCATATGAACGCCACATTTCGTGGAATCAAGATTTTCAAGAGATCTTAGGAAAGATCGGCAGCATTTCATCCTCTTTTAACGCTATAATTTCAATGCATAATATTCAATGCGCCTTCGAAAAATTACCAAAATCTGCGCCTCATGCTTTTTGCCATGGTCAAGTTCGGCTATTTTTTCAAATTTTTGTGCTGATTCTCCGAAGAAGTACAAATGACAGATAGACCCTATAGGACACAATTCCTTAGCTTGTTCTTAGAATTTCTAAAATCGATTTTTCAATGCTTTCAAATTCCATTTATGGTAAACTCAAGTCTCACAGAACAACAAACGGCAAGCAACTCGGGTGTCGTTCAACGCAGCTTTTCTTCTCTTTCCAACCAGTTTTCCGATTTAAAAAGCTTTCCGGGATAAAATCTTCATGATTAAGGTTTTGCAAGGCGCCCAGGACGCACCCGAAATTTTTGAAAGTGCTAAGCTGAAGCGGTAAACATTCATCTGCTTTGTAATTAATGTCAAACCAGAATCCACCTTTGTAAGTTTCAAAATCCGAAGATTTACTGGTGTTTGACGCATTTTTGCTTGCAAGCCTGCTGAAATTCGGTTGTTCCAATGAAAAATCTATGCAAAAATTATGACGAGCTATGGAAAAATGAAAAAAAAGAAAAAAAAATGCTTCCTGTAGGGTTTGCTCTATCCATCCATTACTTGGACTCCTTCCGAGGGTTGTTATAAAAGTTTGAAAAATTTGTGGAATGACCTTCAAAGCCTGAGTCGAAGATTTTGGTGATTTTCAAGACCTCATCGAAAATTTTGCAATGTGTTTATAACCATTAGGAAGAGAATGAAACGTTGCATCGATTGCTTCTAAGAACTTCTACAAATCTTTCCACGAGATGTGGCGTACATTAAAAAAAACGGCTTTACTTTCGCAACGACCTTGTATATCCAGATAAATCGTTAGCTACACAAGGTTCAAGGCTGAGATCTGAAAACCTGCAGTCCTGGCATAATTTCTCTAGCGTTTTGGAAATTTCTGAAATATGTTCATAACGATGGATGATCAGCGACAATGTGACTGTGCTCAAAGTTCCGAAGGTATCGTACAGCATGAAGAGCTTCCATGTATGTTGGAAATCTAAGCTGAAACCAGCCGTCAAAATAGTGCTCAGAGGTCCACACATTTGGACATGAGATCAGACAGTGTACACATTCTTTTTGGGCTACCCGCCCTGTAAATATCTGCATCCGCCCAATCTGAGAATCGCACTATCTTGTTCTAGAGCAACGAAAAACGGTTTTGATGTGGGGGACAAAAATAGATGTCTTGATAAGCTTTCACGGAAACGACTTGATAGAACTGAAGCACATGAAAAATGTGTGCAGTCTTCGTGAAACATGAAAATCGTGTACGTTTTGATGAAAGTTGGAGATGACGCATTCGTGGCTTTTGCTTGTTTACCAAAATTGTTGGCATACATCACCTTTTCCAAATGCGTCAGTAATTTTATGTGCCACCTGTCCCTCATTCCATGATGAAGTCATAAGACGGTTTTTGGGAAGTCATGCAGAAAAACGAAGTGCGAATGGGCGCGTAATGACATCATTTACAAAGCGGACTTCACAGGTTTTGCACTGAGAAAAAAAATTCTCACACCTGACGTCAGGCTTTTGCACCTTGTTGATGAAATGCATTCAGTACCTTTTAGATTTTAGAATATATGATTTTGTCCCACTGTACTCTCGGTAGGTAATTCTCACCCTCGAAAAGGTAAGGGAAATAAATTAACCCCATCTAGAGAGTAAGAAAGGACTATCATTACGAATGAGTTGTAGCTGAACCTTTGCTATGCTCTTTCCTTGTTTTGTTCCTATTGGGAATGCAAAAGTGGCATCTATCTGCAAATTCGATCGCTTTTTTTTTGTCAGACGGAGTTACGGAAAAGGTACATAGAGCTTGTCTTACCACAGAAGCTCAAAGGTAGTGTCATTGGAGAAGAAATTCACAATATTCGGCGAAGCCCACCTACTTAGGCCACTGCTCAAGTATGTGTTCAATGTGCCCCCCCCTTCCTCTCCACAGCGAGGAATTTACGCTTCAATGCGACTCCACATTGCTCTGATCTAGAAGACTAGAAGGACATTATGATCTCGTCCGTCGCTTTTGCAGAGTACTTGAAAAAGCGGTATTTTCCAGATCTATGGGGATTTATGCCCGTGTATATATTCAGGGCAAGGAAGGCTCGTAATCCACGAAAATCCCTATAACCGATTACTGGTGGAAACGGATTTTTTATCTCGGTTTTGAGAGCCCCTCATGTATATGTTGGCCTTTTTATGAGCGAGATTTTCTCTGAAGTACACTCATGCGCTCCAATGTTTCGACTTATGTGTGAGTTCAGTGGCATTCGCCCCGCTTCCGTTGGCGCAAGGTGGTGTAGTCCATCCTATAATGTAAGTAGCAGAATCACTAGAGATTTCAGCAATGGAGGACAAGGAATCTTGTTGAGAACCTCCTTGTCACTTGAACATTATGAGAGTTTTGGTGAATTTCTCTCGTACAATTCATAAACTGGCTGGAAAAGCAACCGTGCTGACTTGTTTTACGCCCACTCAACAGTTTTTTTTTATTTAAAGCGAAAGAAGTGAATGCAAATGCCTGAGAAACAACATTCATATTATCCATTTATTAATCAAATATAAAACAAGCTAATATGCTTACAAGTTTTGATGCGCTAAAGAGTTATTTTATTTACATGTGCTCGAATCTACAGAACTATGTACAGTGCAAAATCATCAAAACATTCGCATTTAACGGGCATTAGGCATGAGATCAATGGGAGCCCAAATGTTCATAGGCAACGCTTTGCCAATCTTCCTTTTTTCCTTTTGGAAAATGCTGTACAATACCATGACCATCGATTCATATTCAGATGATCTTCATCGACTGTTAAGGAGCAAGTAGTTGTAAGCCATGCAGCCGATGATCGAAAATAAATAGGCGACACCAGCCTGAAAGTTTTTCACTGCTATCTCACCCAAAGTCCAAAAGCAATAATAGAATAGCAATCAATAAAACAAACACACCATAAGAGAGAAACATCGATTACCTTTGTGTGAAAAAGCTGGTTTTCGAGTATCGAAGAAAATAGCTGGGGTTCTTGCAAGTGGGCGTATCTGAAAACACCCGCATAAAATTTGAACCAAAATTTGCAAATTCAGGCCACATGAAGATTTGAGCTGTTTTTTTTTTCAAAACAAAAAAGAAGAAAAAACGTAAAATTTTTCGAAAATTTTTAGTCAAACTGAGTAAAATGGCAGGATGATCCGAATACAAGAAAACATATAATGAAAGTGGCTTACCTCCTCCTACGGGCATTGATATGAGTGTACTTATGAAGTGCTAATCGGCCCATACTTCGCATTTTTGGTTTTTGCAAACAGAGTCGAAGAATTTCTGGAGTAAAGATAAATCAAAGCGTTGACCAACTTCAAACATTGCGGCAAAGTCGGCCGCGCAGAGGATGGATGGAAAGGATTGAGAAGCTGTGAGATGCTCATGCTATTTCCGTTGGAATAGACTAGTGGAAGGAATTCGAACCCTGACGAACACAAAGACTGCTGATTCACTAGAGAATGCAAGGCTAGGCAAACGGGCCCGGGAACTAATCCAGTCTTTCCAGAATCGGGCCTTGAACTAGTTCATGGGGTCTGGTTCAAACGGTACTGCACCATAGCGAATTGTTTGAACAGCGATGCGAATAGCCTACGATAGAGCGACATGCATTTGATAGCAGCTCTAACGTGCAGTTTGCTGTCAGCTATCATGTGTTCGGCTTATGCGAATTTTCCAAAAAGCTTCTAGTATCACAATTCAAAATCAACGAGTGCTTGTGGAAAAACGGGAACTCAAACATTGTGGAACAGCTGGGACACATTATATCAAATAACGCAAAATTAGTAGATAAATCGATAATTGCGAGCACGATTCGAGGAATACATATAGAGAGAGGTACCGCGGCTGTTATCAAATTTTCTATGCTCATTACCGGTTTCTGTAGTTTACAACAAAACGTTAGAATGGACACAGAGACTTGGCGAACGATGGTTCGTGAGCCACACAGAATAGCACAATCAATCACATTCTATTTTTAGAAAAAAATGTGCAAAAGACTTTGCCGAAAGGCGTCGATGGATTTCTGATGGATTCGATGCAACAAGGAGCAGGAAAATTCTATGCACATGCCTCCCTCCCTCCCCCCCCCCCCATTTTATGAGGAACTAGATGGCAAACCCGGCTCCGCCCGGGACCAAACTTTGCACACATACACTTTGGGGCAGGGAGCGTGTCATAGGCTACCGCTCCCTGCCCCGAAGTATATGTGTGCCAAGTTTGGTCCAAATCGGTTCAGAAATAAAAATTTCTATTCCGCACATACGTACAGACAGACATACATACAGACAGACATTCAGCTTTATATATAAGATGAATCGTAAGCAGCAGTACACAAATCAGCGCCAGTTAGAGGTTGATAGTCGATGAGTACGTAGCTGACCATATAAATACTGGAGAAAACTACCAAAAAGCAATTAGAACGTCAAAGTTTTGCAACCGCCGTCAGTTGAAGTGAGATAAGCATGAGCTAATTGTGAAAACGAATAAAAACCTTTGAGCGTCATAATGGCGTTATCTATGTCTGTGATAAACAGTTAAGCGGTAACCTTCTGGTCGAATGGTTGAATGGTCTTAGACAATGATGCGTTTATACCCGCGCCGGCACGTGAGCGGGTTTTTTTCGAGGGGGAACTACGGAATGGAATCGAATTAGTGACATGGGTATATCACTTGTGAAGACATGTGAACAAAGAAAAAGTGGGTACTGACCGTTTTCCTTGATGAGTTCGCGCTGCTTTTATAGGAAAAAGTTTATATAACATTTACGAAGTGACGTGTGTAAGAAAACTTCCTAAGAAAGCGCGTGGTTATTGCGAAAGCGTGATCTGCGATGACATGTCCTTTGAAGATTTTCACACATAAATCGAAGATGGCAAATGATGGTAAAAAAATCTTCATTTTGCTTGCTCATTGTTTTGCTTAATCAATGGATAATAACCTGAGATGGCATGAGAAAATACAGCAGTCACTGAATATTCATTTTTTGCTTTGCCCTCAAACAATTTCTATGCTAAGGTGAGCAAATTCGTAAAGTAGCGGTATCAGCCTAAATCATTTTCAGAACAGAAATACGAAGCCGGAATGTTAAGCCTTGATTGATTAAGAGAACCATCCAAAACTGTGTGGCATAGGACATTTTGAAAATACCTCAATCCTCATTTACGTCTTGAACTTTGAGTTGATCCCCTGTATTCAACGTCGACTGACGCAGAATTATTGAACAATTATGTACTTTTCGTCAGAGGCAGGAGTCGAGTAGTAACCCATACAGGCAAACGTTTCTATTACTTCACAAAGAAAGGGCTAAGAATAAGATTTAAGTCTGGCCAAAGTTCTCTCCAGTACTTTCTTTACAGGTGATTACTGATATAATTTTTGTCTCAGTGCATATAAAATTGCAGCTGAAACCCCCCCTCCCCCCACCCTTCTGCCAACTTTATTGAAACAATGAATTAACAATGAACAGAATTTTCGATTACTCATCATTATACAAAAGTTCTCCCTTCGTCACATATTCCACTGAGTCACTAAGCTGACGGCTTCCATTTTTTTCTCATTTGTTTGCCACTAAACTCACTTCTGAGGAAAGTTGCTACCAAAGGAATGGTCAGAAGTCGAAGTGGCCAATCCATACAAGCTGCATACCATTAGATGCAGCATAAAATGCTGACTTCGAATCTCTATTCCATATCTGCTTAGCGCCTATGCGGACGAAGTTATGAGCCGTTAAAGGCCGTTAGCTAAGAAATCGTGCATGCAAAGCGCAAATTTGGCAGTACAGAGCCATGCTCGACTTGATGCTGGGCCAAAACATGCAGCTAGGTGGCCACTTCGACTTCTGGGCATTTCTTTGTGAGACGTGATTGCTAATATTCCTTTTTTCAGTATCATGCTATTACCCCTCCCCCTCGAAAAATAATTTCTTAGGGATTGTGACATCTTTCGAACTGGCTGCTTAAAACTAGGTTCGTATATGCCCATTATATTATATTTTTATTTTTTGATTATATTCTCAAGCCTAGAGGTGAGCTGAAAGTCCAACAATGGGCTCAGTTCCGCACTTTTTATGTACGATTTTTTCGCGAAAACTGCTCGTAACTTCGTCCACAAAGGCGCTGAGCAGATACCGAATATAGATTCAGTATCAGCGTTTATTGCTACATCAAATGTAGGCAGGTTGCTTTGATCGGCCACTGCGACTGACCACCCCTTGTAAGCTCAGAAGAAGCCATGAAAATTACCGAAAAAGATAGTAGTTCCTCAAAATGAATGATGGAAATGAACACTGGGGCTTATGTTTGATGAAGCGTAAGAGCAGAATATTTTGGGCTACCGCATCGCATCGACTCGAATAATAATATCTTCTTCTGCGTACTTTGTTGAGTCATTATTGCAAACAAGAGTTGTGTTTAGATGAGCTCTTTATTTGTACAAGCTATTGGAAAAACAAGAACACAGAAATTGTCGCAAACCATGCAGGTATACAAAGGACTCATGAGCTTACTGAAAGAATCTGCGTTTGCTATGGCATACCTTTGGCAACATTTAATTAATCACATTGTGATGTACAGAGATCATAGTGATTGTAGAAGTCTACACGCTGAAAAATTCGACACAATCGTAGGCACTTTCGGTATGGCTAAAGACTAAAACTAGCTAGAAATAAATAACACAATCAAAAAATTGGTAAGCACCCGATAGAGGCCCGTCAACTCGGAAGAATATACAGGGTGTCCCAAAAAATATGCCTACTGTTTGATTGTAAATGACTCTCTTGTAATGAAATGTCTCGAGAAGCTTTATGTACCGTTTTGTAAGGCGAGGTTAAACTGAGTTTTGCAGTCTGGAGCGATTCATCGATCGCTCTTCATTATTGTAGGATTACGGTAAGAACTTCCAGCATATGGAACCAATGTGAAATAAACCACCTAACAAGAGTTTTTTCAAAATATGTGAAAAATCGTGTACTAGGGTTTTCGCGCATGCTGATTCCACCTAGCAACTTTCTACGAGTGTTTTCAGCTTTTTTGACGGTGTAACCACATCTCTGGTAATTGCTGGGAAATCAGTTATTACGATTACTAGGGATAACTTAAGAAAGAAGCATCACAGTAAAGTGGAAATTTTATATTCGAAATCAGCGCCTTCCGTTAGCGTAGTATAAGAGTTTTTGGCTTGTTTGGTTTTGTTCCAAGGCAGAATACAGCCTTCAATAACCTGAAATCCTTGTCGAAGTTCGTACCGTAATCCTACAGTAGTGAAGAGAGATAGATGATTCGCTCCAGATTGTAAATCTAAGACTAACCTCACTCTACAAAATGGTACCTGAAGCTTCTCGAAACACTTCATTACAAGAGAGTTATTTACAATCAAACAGTAGGCACATTTTTTGGGACACCCTGCATATTGTAGTATCCTGGTTATGTACGAATCGAGATTTTTGATAAAGAAAGTTTCGCGAAGGGGTTCAAGCCACATTGATAAGTAGAGGTCCATTAGCCATACTGTCTCTATCGCAGAAGGTCGAGCACATCTGTCGCAGAATTAATGTAGCTCTACAAGGAATCATAAAAAATTTTTTTTGTAATACCTGAAGTTGATGATTCTCAAACGTTATTGCGTCGTCACTACTTCGCTGGCTGAGAACAGATTGTCCAGAAACTGATTGTATCATTTTCGACCTAAAAACGCAAAGTACAACTTCGACTATCAATTACATTTTCGCTAAATTCTAGTGTCTAAATCTGTTTAGCCGAGTGTTGTCAGAACTGACAGCTCATGTGAACGAAACAGTGCTTCCGTGTTCCCGTTAAAATCCTGGCCACAACAACACATCACAAAACCGGAAGTACACTCACTGCTGTCGTGTTCTTAAGTAGATGTGATACCGGTTGTAGATCCATTTGGAACAGAAGAAGACAAACATCAACACGAAGATGGCGCTGAAAACCCGATTTCAGTAAAGTCACAAGGTTAATGAGAGATCACATGTATGTTTATTCCGAACATGTGCTTCCTCATCTTGTTCATTGAAAGAAATATGGACATTTCAAGCCATACAAGTAGCCAACTCTAGCTGTCACTGCTGGCGATGAGTAACTCCAAATTCGGGAAGAGCTTTCTAGTTAATTACATGGGAAATCTCTTACGTATTTTGTCTTGGAGATGTCTTCTCATATTTTTGAAACTCCCTGATTCCCACATATAGGACTGACGTTCATTTTCGACTTGATCACAAAGTGCAATGTTCGCTTCCAAAGAGCATGTTGAAGGCTATTTTAACCGCGTTCCAAGAAGTTTGAGCCAATTAAGAATCTTCCTTTCTCATCGGAAAAAAATCTATGCTAAGTTTTTAGCTGGTATTTTAATAAACTGAGCAGATCGCTGCTTGAATTTCTTCGTACTATTTCTTCTTTTTGGCTCGGCGCTTGCAATGGATTTCACGAAGCCAAAAAAATCCTTCTCAAATCAAGCATTACCCAGTGTCAGATATCGTTCAAAATTTGATTGAGACATCTGTGCTGAACCTTTTGTCATTTCTATGGAGGCAGCACGGAAGTAAAATATTCAGCACGGTGGATGAATAAATTTGTTATTTCTTTGAATCGTGCGAAGCAAACCAAACTTCTTTTTTCCATGCTTGAGAAGCGCTCAGCCCGAGATATGTTGGTCGATTTCTTCTCAAAGTGTTCAACATTCGCTCACCTCATTATTATGATCCCTTCCGTTCCGATGTCTTCCATAAACGATCGGCTTTTTTGTGTTCTTTCCGAAAGGCACGTACTGTAAATGTCGGTACCGTCATCGGTTAGGGACCACCGAAGGCAGATTGTGTATGCCTAAGCGAGAAAATACTTTACATGATTCCCCAGCCGAAATTTTTTTGAGACCAACTCTGTCCGGAAGCAAATTGATGAGATTGTAACTGCAGTATATATTGTGCAGTGAGAGAAGAACAACTCGTTTGAAGTCAGATGAACTCGTTGAATTCACTTGAAGGGCCACCCTGAAAGTAGCGAGAAGTCAGAATGTGTTTTTTTTTTGTAAAATAGCTACCTATCCACAGCTTGAACGTCGATGTTCTGATTCCATGCAAGATGTACAGATGACACTCCAACCTGAGCAAAGAAATTGGATTTCAAACTTGTCCAAATGAAAATTTGAGATTGGACGGTTTGGGCTTGAGGAGAATCCAGTTTCCTTTATCGGTATCAAGTTCCATACAACCCTACATTTCTTGAATCTTAAAATTTCTTACATGTGTGACCTTCAGCTGTATGTCAGGCACTTCAACAATAAGCCGGATTTTCCTTGTGAATGAGTACTTTCCTCGTTGAATCGTACATTCATAATCGCCGGCATCTGATTTCAGAACGACATCAATCCTAAAATATACATACATAAAATATGAAAAACAGTTGTTTATCTGGATAGGGAAATAATTTCACCTGAAATATTCTGTCGCAGCGAAATACCGTTGTCTCAAATGTTGTCGCTTGAGTGGTTCAAAGAGCGTTGTCGTAAAATAGTCAAGACGTTCGAGTCCAGAAGAGAACTGGAAGCAGTTATACCATTCTCATACAATCTTCCTATTGTCCAAAAGTATGCTTACCTCAGGTCTTGAGGCCAAGACTGAACCACCATGCGGTGTCTTCCACCTCACTATGTCATCTTCATCAGTACCTAAGATCTTCTCGATGAGTATCTTGGGAATTCCCACACTTACTTGTTGTTGGAATAACTACTATTTCAGTACTTCTGACAAAAACGAACGAGATTTTTTGACATAAGCTACAGGGTGTCCCAGAAGTCTTGTAGCCTAGAATCTTTTCTGACACAAACGAAGTGGAACAACGTGGGGATATGAAATCTGGTGCACGCATTACTCAAACAATGACAAATGCAAAACAATATTTGAACTTCGTGATATTATTTTTTCTTGTCCACGGAAGCCTTCAAACTGTTGGCGACTGCCACTGCCGTGACACGCAGGTAATCATCATCAATTTCGCCCCACGCCTTTTCGGCAGCAGTTCCCATCGCTTAGAAAATGTGCACTATGATAGAGCAAGCTTCCAGCTACGAAATTTTTTTGTAAAATTTAGGATTGAAAATATGAAAAATTTGAATGTAGGCATGTGTGGACCTATGCTGGAGTGGACACAATTGACAAAAAGCTGGCTACAATGTGTCTTGAAACTAAGATCGTCATTCAAGTTGAACGAGATTCTCATCCAGAAGCATTTGACGAGAGAATTGCTTTGGATCCAGTGACTGCTGCATTTCTAAGTACTAAAAATTAATTTCAAAGACAAGGTGACCGTGGCACGCATCCAAAGTTTCCCAAATCTTTTTTGCCTGTCTTGTTTCAAACGCATCTACTATGGTGATAGTAGTGTAAAGCCTCCTCTGGTAGGCACGAAATTGCAGCACACGTTTCAAAAATATCCAGCATTGGAACAAATTGCAAATATCGAGAAAATAGATCTTTGAGCTCTCAGAAAGTGTTGGCTCAATATTACAATTCTTTTCAAAACGTATGGGGATCTTATCGGACTCGCGGAAATGTCTGTTGAAGAATGATTGCAGCATTCTGTGGCATAAACTTGCAATAAAAATCTTTAGTAGTTCGTGAGTTAATAGTAGTGCACTTAGGCTACAAGATTTTGGGACACCTGTGTTATTATTTGGTTCCTTTAACTCACCCGCACAGTATATTTTGAATGTTTGTCCCACGCTGGCAGTCACTTCGTCTCCGAAAGGAAGTATCACACTAGGGCGACATTGGTCCGTGCTGGCTAGATTCATTGGCGATAAGCTGGATATCCTGAAGCACAATGGTATTCATACGCTATTGTTGACTAACTTCAAACCTCAGCACTTCTCCCGTTCGAGTAACACATGTGGAATTACTCCAGTCCATTATAGTAGTGGTTGTAATAGCGCTTAGCTGCTCGGACAGGCATCCGCAGTCCAGCGAAACGTCAGAAATGCGAATCTAAAAAAGTTGTGTTAGATGGAACTAGGTTTGCTAATTGCAAATAATTGCTCCTCCAAAATTCGCCGAGTTTCAATAATTGCTGAAACTGTAGATTTTTCCCAATTATTTTTCTACTGATGTGATCAAAAGAACTCAGAGCTCTGAAAACATAATTTTGAATAGAAAAACCATAGGCTTTCCCACCACTGCAGCTTAGAAAATATGTTAGATAGTGACTTTTGAATTGAAGAACGAAGAACAAAATTGTTGATACATAATGCACTCACTCGAGCAACGTTGGATAGAAGTGAGGGTGGTAAAGTTTTGAGGCCAGTTCCAGATATGTCCAAGCTGAAAACACATTCTTTTCCCTCCAGTATACACATGTTTGGGAGAAGATACTTTGCTATTTATTGCATTACGGGAGCGGCAATGATTTTTTCTACTTGTTATCTAATAAAATGCCTCCAGCCACCAAGAATTTCTCTTTACAGATGTCAGCCACCTTCGTACTGACGTATACTGGCGGAGACTATAGCACCAGGACGTTTTGCAGCCACCTTTCACATAGAAATATTCCACTTCTTGAGTTGGTTTGCAAATTCTTCAAAGGCAGTTGCGCTTTGAAGCGCCTTTGACAAAAATGGCTGCGATTCTCGTTGCAATGAAAGGACTGACAAGGGAAGAATACTTGGTGACTGTGACCTTTTGAAATGAAACATATACGTCTGAATGCATCTTTAAGAGCTGAATACAAATCTACTTTCGGTATCTGCTTTGCGTTCTTCCGAAAAAAAGTTATGAACATTTGTTGCCACCAAAATTAGCACTGTTATGATGACAGGATTCACCAGTATCCTTAGAATGTTCACTTAAGAACTACAAAAGAGCTTCCAAACAAAATGAATATTTACGTTTCTCAAAAACTGTCTCCGATACATCTCTCGTGGAAATGATATGGAAAAAGGTCCATAAGTTAGTTCAGAAAGTTGTACAGCAGATAACGAACACGGATTTGGAATCAGTATCTCAAGGTGAAACTAGAGGTTTACATTACTAGAAGCCACGGTCACCAAGTATCCTTCCCTTATAAGATGAGTTGAAGAGATGTATTATATTTATACGCACAAAGAAAAAAGCCACAGGTTGGCGATTGGTTCATAGCCACTGGTCGTGCTATGAACCAATCGCCTCAACCAAGCTCACGTACTGTGACAAAATACACCAAAATTCAACATTTCACAACAAAAAGTGATTTCAGTGATGGTGAAGTGGGTTGTTATTAGGGGGAGCGAAGGGCGTGTGAGGCAGAGGCCCCACAGAAGGAAATGGATTATGTTATCAAGGTTATTTGTACATAATTCATACTTGTTTTCAATTGGCGTGACTTTCGCGTCCTATCAAACTTATTGAGAATAGTTTGTGAGGTATCTTTGAAAGTCTGGAAGCACTCAAGATCTAAGAAATCCACTTTATTGAGTTTTACAGCCCAGCGAAAACTCTAAAAATTTTGTTATGAGAATTCTGCAGATTAGTTCTTTGATTGAAAAATAGTAAGGGATGCGCTCTACAGCCCATTTCCACTCAATAAATATAGATTAAGCCTATGTATATGAGTAAAAGTAAGTAGAAGGAGTGTATTCCTACCTGAACACACTAATGTTTTCAAAAGCTGCGGGAGACACGAACACAAGGTCGCGACAGTCAGCAAGTGTTACTGAATGAAGTCGAGGAAGTCGTGAGAACGCTCCGGCTTCGACTACTCGAAGTCCGGTTGTAGACAGGTCCAGTACCTAAAATTTCACACAGTACCAAAAGCTTCCTTAAATTAAAAACTTCTCACCTGCAAGCTGTCAAACTTTAGCTGGCCTTCCTCTGCTACTGTAATTGGATTTCCAGAGAGTATGAGTGTCCTCAAACTTTCCATACTGCGAAGTTCAATACCGGGCAGCTGTGTAAGGTTGTTTGAGCTCAAGTCGAGGATTTCAAGCTGAAATCGAAAATTTGGCTGAGAAGCTGCTGAAAACCACCAAACTTACGGAAATCATTGGAGTGATAGAATCACATTCAACACTACGAATCATGTTCTGGCTGACATTCAGATACCTCAAAGATGTTGCACCAGAAAATTCGCTCATCTAAATTATTCTTCATATATATGCATTTTGCTCCATAGCAAAGTCCTCACCATAAATCGTTCGAGATTATTCCCACTGAGGTCGACTTCCTGCAGTTGAGGGATGAATCTGAAGGCGTGCATGCCGAGTACCTGCAAACTATGTTTGTACTAATTAATGATCACGCAATGCTGGCAACACCATACCTTGTGTCTAGTTTGCTTAAATCTATGGAATAAGTGCTCCCACATTAGTTGAATTCTGAATAATTTTTGGCGTGGAACCAACTAGAGTAGGTGGAAAAAAGGGGAGCTTTGATTCCAAAATTTGATGTTCTAACCTAAGAAGCCGAATATGAGTTCCATATCACTAGTTAACTAACTTGTATAATAAAGCAAAGCTCTAAGGCTGGAAGGTTTGAGTATAAGCCTCAATTCGATGAGAAGTCTCTTATACAAAACGACCTCCACGCGGATCCCTCAATTGAAAAGGGTAGTAATTATAACCAAGATCAAAAATGATTACAGAATTGTTAGTAACATTTGTTTTTAGCCAACACCTTTCGAAACACAACCTGATATTTTATCAGCTTGTATCGCCTTCATACCAACAAATATCTCTAATCTAAGGCACCACTATGCACATGAATTCTTTCTGAAACAAATCAAAATAAACGGTTTTTTGTTACGAATTTACAGAAATTTGGTGCGAGACCATGCCAATGTTTCTTTAGTCATGTGTTAGAGCTGTAACATACAAAGGTGAATCATTTGCAGATTCAAACAAAGACTTCACGAAATTTTCTTAACAGGCCCTTGACATCGTAAGCTAGCCACAATGTAGGGACTAACCTGTATAACGTTGTCGTTTAGTCGTATGCTTCTTATGTGAGGCATTCGTAGTGAATCGTAGCCGATGTGCGATATATGATTATGTCCAAGATGCACTTCCTCTATTTTTGGGAAAGGAGTCAGCAACTTTCGGTCAGCACGCTGAAGGTAGATGTTCTTGTTCGTGTATTTTACATTCCTTGCGGGATTTACCGTAAAATTATTATGTTCTAGGACTGCTTTCCGAACTGCTGGAAATATTCGTTTGGAGTTTAGCCAGACATCGTCGTTGAACCCATTTTGGCTCAGATCAATGGATCTACAAATAGCACTTTTTCTCGAATCCCATTGATTCAGAAGGTCACCACTGACTCGAGCAGCTCCATTTTCGGAAGATCATCGATGGACAACAGGGGAGTCTGGCGAATGCTCAGTTCCCTCAGTCCATTCCATTCCGCTGTCGACAAGTGGGAAATGACCGCAGACAGCTCGCTTTCGTCCATTGAAACGCACGATATTGTGTCTCCTGCAACGTTTCTGTTTGAAAGTGACGAATGTGTGAATCAATTTAGCGCTGCTCCAATGCATTCTTTAGTGCGCTAAGATAAAAAGAAGATATAAAAGCTTTGGTAAGCTGCTGCGCTGACTGCAACAATTACGGTATTACATATCTGCGGCAATACGTGTTTGTCTTTTTAGCTGTCAAAGTGCGCAAGAAAAACGACCAGAATTGTGAACCCCCTGTCGATCACTATATTGAGAAGAAAAGCTTTTTGAGGAAAGGGTGATTCCAAACAAAATGTTTCGCACCGGCTATCGGTGGAACAAGCAAGAAAAATTCTAGGAATCAGATCATTATACTGTCATAAATCACCCATATATTTCTGGATCACGCAAGAAAAAGACGATAATCTCTCAAGGAATTTATAAGAATAGCAACGCTTTAGAATGACAATCACTTTCAAGCTAATCTGATTGTCGTGAACAGAATAAAGCTTAGTGTGCCCTGCAGCTTTCGTCGTAGATTTTGGTTGGGTACTTACTTACTTAGATACTTAGATGGCCCATCCTCCGTGACGTACGAGCCCCAGTACAGAAGTTTCCATTGATACCTGTCTCTCGCTTCGGACATCCACGATCTTCTTGGTTGTCGTCGGTGGCCGCGTCCACGAGTTCCAGGGGTGAAAATCGTATACAGCTGATTTCTCAGCTGGTCCATCCCTTCCATGAACATGTCTGCCCATCTCGTTGGTGGTCTTCTTCGGGGACGTTTAGCTTCGCGAGGATTCCACTCGGATGTTCTTAGTGTCCATCTTTCGTCTGTTCTTCTCATGATGTGACCGGCTCATCGGTGTTTCGCTTTCGCAATGTATTCTGCTAGGTCACGAAGACGGGACATTCTTCTCATATCCGTACTGCGAAATCCGACAAGATGTTGCTTGTGTCGGGTCATCTTCAGAAGAGCGCGCTCGAGCGCTCTGTGGGTGGTCCATAAAGCTTTCGATGTGGCTACGGTGTCGGCCCAAGTCTCAGCTGCGTAACAGAGCGATGGGAGAACGGTTGAGTCAAACAGGTGGGCACGAAGCTCCGGGTCCGTCAGTTGGTCGGTTGCCCTTCAGAGGCCCGAAGGCTGCCCAGGTGCTCTTCTTCTCCCGTTAAGTTCTTCCCTCAAGTCGTTCTCCATGTTCATCGAACGTCCGAGATACGCGTAAGAAGACGTCTCCATGATAGGGGAGCCTTCCAATTCCATTTCTGCATTTTCGCAAAGGGCGTTCTTCATGAACTGAGTCTTCTTCCGATTTATTCACATTCCTATCTTCTCCCTACCTCGTTTAGTTCCTTCAGCATCGTCTCTGCTTCAGTGATACTGCTCGAAAAGAGAACGATGTCGTCCGCAAAACGAAGGTTCGACAGGAATCTTCCATCAATTCGTATACATCTCTCGTCCCAGTCCAGTGACTTTATCACCCACTGCAAGGCCGCGGTGAACAGCTCCGGCGAGATTGTTCGCCTTGTCGGACCCCCTTCCCAATGGGGATGGTCAAGGGGCGATGGAATAGCTGCACCGTCGTTGTACACTCCTTATAGCAGTCGGCAAACGTCCTCACGTAAGCTGGGTCCACTCTTGATCGACTATCGCAGACAGGATGGCGTTGGTTTCGACGCTGTCAAAGGCTTTCTCGTAGTTGACGAAGGTAGGACGAGAGGCAGTCGGTACTCCCGGCAGACTTCTATGACCCTCGAAACAATCTGGATGTGGTCCATGCAATTGAATCCTTTGCGAAATCCAGCTTGTTCTTGAGGTTGGGCTTCATCCATTGTCCTAGATATGCGAGCGAGGATAATTTGCATGAAAAGTTTGTACAGCACACTCAACAGGCATATTGAACGGTAGTTTCGAAGATCCTTCCGTTCCCCCTTCTTAGAGAGAAGGACATTTCTTGATGTTCTTCGCTAGCGGTAATCCTCTCATTCTGAAGGTAAAATGTTAGGTGCGACGCAAGATTCTCGTGTAGACGTTGTCCTCTTTCCGTTGACTTCCTGCGGCTCGCAGGAAGTCAACGGAAAGATGGTCTGGTCCTGGAACTGTGGATGTCTTCATGGTTTGAGTCGCCGTGCGCACTTCAGCAGGTAGAATTCGTGGTGGCACTTCTCTAGTGGGAACAAGGACATAGGCACGGGTGTTGATGAGCATAACAGGTTGGTGTCAAAGTTCTTCGCGATAGATTCCATCTTGTATCGGGTAGTGCAGCCAGCGGCGCTTCTTGAGGCTTCGTCTTCCTTCGGCTGCTTCCAGTATCTTGGCTTGCCTCTACTTCCTGAGATCCTCCTGTAAAGCTGTTCTGCAACTGGCGGTGGCTATCATTCGCTCGAGATGGGTTGCATTTGATTTTGATTCTTTACGTTATAAAATTACGGGCAGGAAAGCCATAGAATTAAATTGGCATTTGCGAAAATTTATCCATAGTATTTAGCCATCCTGATTTGAGCACGTAAGCGCTGCTTGTTGTATAGGATAAAGCAAACACAGGCGTATATAGCTTGTTTTTGATCAAGGTCTACCTGATATACTTGAATAGATTTTTACCGGACTGGTTTTTGGGTCTAAAAGGCTATATGAATATTATATACATGCTATCCCATGAACGACTCTCTGAAATTCTGGCATGTTTATCTTATTCTTAAACATTGACACAGAGCGTTTGAAAACACTCATCTCCTCACTTCAGTGCTCTGACGAAGGCGAACAACTCAAATAGCCGAATAAAGCTGATAACAACCTTGCTTTGGCTTAATCAGTCAAAAGAATATCATATGTTTTTGCAAGGTTCTTGCATTCAGTGGGCGAAATTTTATAAAGCCATTAGGGATATTGGATTTTGAGGTTCTCGATCACATAATGTATATTCAGTTCAAATATATGTAGCCGACCGCAACTGCATTACGATCTAGGGCTCAAATGTATTGTCATTCCGCATCGGAGTATTGGTGCCACCTCGCCCCATAAAAATTTACCCTGTAGAGAGCAACTAGAGCAATTTTTGTTCAAAGACGGCAAATTAACATATGGAAAACTCGCGAAAGCTAACTTTGAAAAGGAGCCTTGTACTTTATCAGCTCACCTTTACATACACATCGCTGCGGACAAGAAGCAGAAACCGCTTCAGCCAGAAGAACCACAATCAGCCACCTCATCGGTACTGTGACGAAGAGATTGCTTGTGCGCCAATACGTTCGGTGAGCTGCAACGAAAATATATGAAGTTTGGAGTATCACCGTTCCACAGCGTTTGAAATGGAAAAGCTGGAAATGGTGACTAAAGTTTACATGGGCTTTAACGGAGCATCATCAAGAACAAAAAGCCCACATCGATGTGCAGTGCAGTGAGACGTGCAAATTTGTGAAACATAAGGTGTAAGGTCATTGAGTAAAGTTCAGTAGTATCTGGCACAAATAGTCAATCGAACTTAAGTCAGGTTTGGGTAGTTATCACAATATCTTCCGTAGATTTTTTGTTCTATGAATAAATTGACTAAGAAATATGTACTTATCAAAATTTTGTTTTTCTCAAGATATAGACTTTCTGAATGAAGAATTTCGCAGCGACGGCAGCAAAGATCATCAGAAAATTTTCATATTGAAATATGCATGATCAAGAACTGCGTGAAAACCGAGCACAAAGCAAATTTTGCGATCTCACAGTTCAAGAATTTTATCTTTGGTGTAAGTTTTGAGGAAAGAGAGCTCTTGATCAGTAGTTTATTGACAATGGCAACGTTTCGATTTTTAAAATCGTCTTCAGGCCTTGAATTACAATATATAAGTGATATATGAGAATGAAATACAAACGGCGCATGTACCGTCATCTTCTTCTTAGATGGGAGGTAGAGAGGGGTGGGGTTGTTGCGGGATAGTATACAGTAGCAGTGGCCTCCTTCTTCGGTAAGTCAGTAAAGAATGAACTCTAGTCGCTTGCACTCAAGTAATTAGCATCAAAACATCCTTCATTTCTTCTTTACTGTTTATTTGCGGGTTATGCTTACATATTTCGTAAGCCTCCCTAATTTTCCTTTCTAAGGTATTTTCCAAGTTCCGATGTAGAACAGTCACTCTCAAAGGCGGTGCTTTCTGCATGGCATGTTTGAGCGTCCGATGCCTTGAAAAACTTTCTCTTGGATAGGAGGCAGGATTGAGTAACGCTCTCCTGTGCTCATCTAATCTCAACTTCAAAGGCCTTCCGCTCTCTCCTATATACTTTTCGCCGCATCCTTGGCATTCGATAGTATAGACTGTTCCTCGTAAAGAACAGACTCTCTGCTCTTCACAGTATTGGCATCCATCGCATTTACTCTCATAAAGTCGTGTATTCGTGAGCACCTCCTTCAGAGTAGGAGGTGGTGAAAACGCGAGCCTTATAGGAAGTCCCGACCCCTTGACGATTTTGTTCGTTCAGCTTCCAAGCGGATTTTTCTCCTACATAGGGCAGTGTTAGTGCGATTCCGTCCGGAGCTCTATAGGGCCTCCATGTTCTGGGCCACATTGGCCGGTACCCATTTTCGTCGAAGATGGTGTTAACGGTAGAGTCTATTTGATTATTTGAAGATGAGCATAGTTTTTCCTTCGTTTGTAGAAAATTTCGGATCACATTGGCTTTCATGTACTGTGGATGGGCGCTACGTGAATGTAATATGATGTTACATGACGAAGGTTTCTTGTACCAGAAATATTCGACCGCACTCTCACTGATTTTAACCTTGGTGTTTAAGAATGGTAAGAATCCATTCTTTGCAGGTGTTTCGATAGTGAATGAGATATCTTTGTCAACCGTATTTAATTTTTCAAACACTGTTCTGACGCTTTCTTCAGTATTACCGACGACGAAGACATCATCTACATATCTCTTGTACAAGATTATGTCTGATGTTAACGTAGTTAGTTTGTTCGACAAATTTACCAAAACGATGCATCACATTACAGCTCGAATATGACGCCAGCTGAAAGAAGAGGTCTCAAGAAGCTTTTACACATGAATTCAACATTGCGGTATACTATAGGCGACAAAAGCGGCTCCTTTGTTGTTATACCTCAGAATATGGACAAAAGCATCACACATCAAATCCTCTCCGACTATACAACATACTCGGAAACAACAATATCCTCATTCCTCGATGCATGCAACAACGTTCGTGATGTCATAGTGCGCATCGTAAAACCGAAGCTAGGTACAAGAGTAGCTGATCAATTACTCGATCGCCATCCATTAATTCCGACGTTCTACAGCATGATTAAAACCCACAAATTACCACCTGGAGTTGATACAAGATCATTGTCGGTACACGATGTGAAAATAAGACCGATAATTTCGTCTTGCGGAGAACCTGCTGATAGATTGAGTTGGTTGTTAGTAAAAATCCTGTCTCCGTTGCTCCGCTTCGTGGGAGCTCACATCGTGAATGCGGAAGCATTCTTGTCGGATCTTACAAGATGTGAAATACCAGTATCCGCATCATATGCTAGTTATGACGCAGTTTCCTTGTACCCAAATGTGAACAACGATCATGCTGTGAATGCAGTGTTAGCCCTTCTGAAAGAAAATCGAACCCATGTTACTACTTTTTCACTCAGTATCGATGATTTACGGTGCATGCTATGCGCAGTTTTATCATGAAACGTTTTCTCTTTTGACGGAAGGATCTTCAAACAAAGAAGGGGACTGGCTATGGGAAATCGGATCGCACCGTTACTTGCAATAGTATTCTTGGATCATATCGAAAAAGCTACGTTAACATCAGACATGTACAAGAGATATGAAGATGATGTCTTCGTCGTCGGTAATACTGAAGAAAGCGTCAGAACAATGTTTGAAAAATTAAATACGGTTGACAAAGATATCTCATTCACTATCGAAACACCTGCAAAGAATGGATTCTTACCATTCTTAAACACCAAGGTTAAAATCAGTGAGAGTGCGGTCGAATATTTCTGGTACAAGAAACCTTCGTCATGTAACATCATATTACATTCACGTAGCGCCCATCCACAGTACATGAAAGCCAATGTGATCCGAAATTTTCTACAAACGAAGGAAAAACTATGCTCATCTTCAAATAATCAAATAGATTCTACCGTTAACACCATCTTCGACGAAAATGGGTACCGGCCAATGTGGCCCAGAACATGGAGGCCCTATAGAGCTCCGGACGGAATCGCACTAACACTGCCCTATGTAGGAGAAAAATCCGCTTGGAAGCTGAACGAACAAAATCGTCAAGGGGTCGGGACTTCCTATAAGGCTCGCGTTTTCACCACCTCCTACTCTGAAGGAGGTGCTCACGAATACACGACTTTATGAAAGTAAATGCGATGGATGCCAATACTGTGAAGAGCAGAAAATCTGTTCTTTACGAGGAACAGTCTATACTATTCTATCGAATGCCAAGGATGCGGCGAAAAGTATATAGGAGAGAGCGGAAGGCCTTTGAAGTTGAGATTAGATGAGCACAGGAGAGCGTTACTCAATCCTGCCTCCTATCCAAGAGAAAGTTTTTCAAGGCATCGGACGCTCAAACATGCCATGCAGAAAGCACCGCCTTTGAGAGTGACTGTTCTACATCGGAACTTGAAAAATACCTTAGAAAGGAAAATTAGGGAGGCTTACGAAATATGTAAGCATAGCCCGCAAATAAACAGTAAAGAAGAAATGAAAGATGTTTTGATGATAATTACTTGAGTGCAAGCGACTGGAGTTCATTCTTTACTGACTTACCAAAGAAGGAGGCCACTGCTACTGTACACTATCCCGCAACAACCCCACCCCTCTCTACCTCCCATCTAAGAAGAAGATGAAGGTACATGCGCCGTTTGTATTTCATTCTCATATATCACTTATATATTGTAATTCAAGGCCTGAAGACGATTTTAAAAATCGAAACGTTGCCATTGTCAATAAACTACTGATCAAGAGCTCTCTCTCCTCAAAACTTACACCAGAATCCAGCATGAAGCTCAGAGAGAACACTATACTAAAATTTTGCCCAATTTACGCTGCTGCGCTTAAACTGTGAGAATTAACAAAACACCTTATCACTGTTTTCATTACTACTGCTATAAAACTGAGTAAAGCGCTAAGTTCCACGTGTAAATCTGACATCTTCCACTTGTTTACACATCTTCTAATCAAGTTCATGCTACAAAACTCAAAAACGATATTCGCATGATTCTATGGAAAACAGGTTCTAAACCTCTTGCATTTCATCCGATTAACCAGAAACGATGTTTGAAAAACGAAATGAAGGTTTCACACGCGAGAACGAAACTAATGTTATTTGAATTGAGCGGGTCTACCAAAGCAATGGGACCTTGAATGCATGCTTGTTAATGAGATGGAACTTGTCATATTTTACAATCTGCAAAGATAATAGTGTAATGCATAATTCAGGTACCAAAATTTCACTTCTCCTTTTTTTATAAAATCCTCTGACTGATACAAAATAAAAAGTAAGAATCCTGCGCTATGTATGTGCTTGAATCAAAATTACCTGTTGCCATACGGCAATGCTATGAGCTGATTAAGAGAAATGGCCAAAAAGTGATTGATCTAGTTTTGGTCGCTAAAATTGCCAGAACGTCTACTAAATTCTGAATATTTTGATCTTGATTTTACGACCCACTCTTTTTGACTATAAAGGTTGGTAGTGATCCGTTGTCTCTACGGATAGTTAGAATTTTCGATTTTTATGAGTTGACTCGTTGATTTCGCCACAATGATTTTCCGAAATGTACAGTAAAATACAACCTTTGATATAAATAACAAAGAGCATATTGCGTAAATTAACTAGTTTGTTGAGCATATTCAAATCAGTTTTTTGGTGCAAAAATCGTGCTCCAGCCTAATATGATATAAAAAATTATAGTAGATTGGGGAGCGAGAATCAAGTGATTTTGCACCACAGAAACTTTAAAAGAAAGATAAAGGTTCTGAAAGCGAATAAAAAAATTAGAGTCACAGATGACACTCGTGGTGTTGCTTGAAATACAGTGCTCTCCAGCAATATGTACGTTCTGTTGACTGGGTTGGATGTTTTTGCAAAAACGCGAAGTGGCTTTTGGCATGCCAAATGTGAATGTGAAAGTTGTGATGATGCAATGGAATTCATTTGTAGCGATAGCCGTGCTCATCTCTTTATGGCGCGGGTTTAATCGCCGGATCATCATCAAACGTTGAGGAATGATTGGGAACAAAT